AAATAAAACTATATGCCAATTTTTATTTATTGGTTGTTGTTAGATAAATGTCCAGTGGCAAATATTTCATGCATATTCAGGCCGATTTTAAATAATCCCATCACGGTTTTTTTTTCTTTTTCAATGAATAAAAAGAGATGTGGCGTAAAATCAGTGAGAAAGCAATCTTAAAGCAAAATAAAACCAGAAAAGACATCTGTTTTCACATAAGCCAATTATATCTGTTTGGATTGCTCACCCAATTTTGTCAATCTAACGGAACTATAAATAACATACAAGTGGGAGGTTAAGCTAGCTATAAAACCAGGTTTAACCCACCATTTTCCTCGGAAAATGCTTGTACCAAGTCAGGAATAAGACAGTTGTTTTCCATTCGTTTCGTTGGTTGATAAAATCTAAAGTCAGTTTTTCTGCGCTTCTCCCTTTTTGATTTACCTTAAAGTACGGTATTTTTGCGGATACGTTTTATAGATCGCACCATACGGTCTTCAACAATATACAACTGTAAATCTATAACTCGTCCCGAGTTTAGACACCTTTAGAATAATTCTTACAGAAGCTTCCAATGACCTGACATCAACACAATATGACAACAAAAAAATATAACGAGGACAACCACTAATGAGGCTCCTGACCTTTGACCAATACATTAACATATGTGGCAGAGTTAAATTATTTTTTTAATTAAAGAATCCGCAATTTTCTAAATTCTAATAGGAAAAAGAGACAAAAGTGAAACGTTTTTCGCGACTATGTTTCAGAACTATGATTAATATAAGCAATGAAAACTAAAGCATGAGCGATTTCACCCTCGCCAATCAAAACCACAGAAAGGCATGCCAATCTTGTTGGCAAGTTGGTAAAACTTGTGTCTGGTCCTATTTGAATCATTAATCAAATAAAACAATTATAAAACTAAAATTTTATGCGATAATTTCTGTAATGACATTTCTCATTTTCTCTGTAAATTATGAGTTATGTGATTTCTGTGTTCTGGCCAGCAATGCTGTTCCTTTCTTCTTAAAATGTTTGTATCAATAATATACTTAACGTTATTTGGACTCTCTTTGACAGTTGTCTCATTGTCAATCGTACCGCATATCCTTATTTTATATTAACACATCATCGTTACTCAAATGTTTATAACCAAAGGTTGTTATTATTAATAGGAGAATGGGCTATTGTTACATCTACATTTGATACATTACTTTTATGTTTAAAAAATGAAAGACCGATAAAAGCGATACTGAATGCACGTTGTTCTGTTCGTCGCTAAATGTATATAACTAATGTACTGGAAAAATGGATGACTTTCATGTTTACCATTTTAGTGCGATGCCTAATTAAGAAGAACAATTCAATTGATGCCATTTACCTAAATCTATTTACACAGAATGAAAGCAAATCCAAAAACATTAGCAAAAGTGCAACATCTTCAAAAGAAAAGACAAACTTTTAGAAAAGTGAAAAATAGCAATGTTATATTGATTATCAATGTTTGTTAAAAGTTTTGAAGTAAAATAATAAATGAAAGTTTAGACACCGATTTATTATTTCCATCCAATACTGACAGCCTACTACACTTCTAAATGGAAAAAAGGAAATACGAAGAATAATTGCATGAAGGTTAATACCGGTATAAAGATAAAACAAGTTGCGTTCTTAAAAAAACCCGAAACCACTGACAGGTCAGCAACAAATTGTTGCTGAATTGTTTTGCTGTAGATATGAAGTACATTACTGTGAAGAAGGTATTTATGATGGTATCTCTACTTTATCTAAAATATTTAACTGGATACATTATTGGTTTAAAGTCACCAAGCTGTGTAGCTCAGTCATACAGTAATGCATAAGTCGATGGAAAAAACTGTTGGATTTTAGTGGTAAACTAAAAAGATATTGGCAATATTCGTAAAGCAACAAAATATTACTACTAAATTGTTCGGGTTAAGGTTAATGAAGACTTTAGTTTGATTCTGAGGTTGATGAAGACTTTGGTTTGAGCCTGAGGTTAATGAAGACTTTAGTTTGATCTTAATGTTGATGAAGACTTTATTTGGATCTTGAGGTTAATGTAGACTTTAGTGTGATTCTGATGTTGATTAGGACTTAAGTTTGATACGGAGGTTGATGAAGACGTTAATTTGATCTTGTCGCCGTTTAAAAAACGCATCTCTTGAAAGGGGATCTTGACGAGCAACACTTGACGAATTGTCACTAAGAACTACTTAAGTGTCATCTGTTGATAATTATTTGAAGAATTATAGTAATCACCTCCACTTTCGTTATTTTTATCATAATTAAAAAATGTTAAGTATTATTACATACATTAGCCACACAGCAGCCCAACTTTTTACAGGAAAACTTTTCAGAACGAATATAACAAAATAAGGTTAGATATTGATAAGAAAAATAGTATAAGAAGAATACTAGTATATCCAAGGAGTAAATAATACCAACTCTGTTTCAGATGATACTACTAATACATTTTAATGCAGGTTATGTGACCTCTTCTTCATGCACTGAGCTGTTTATCAAATATTTGTTATAACTAGCTCGGGTGACGGTAATTTGTCTCAAATCCTTACTGAAACAGCATGTCTGGCGAATAATTCATCATCTTTTTTTATGATATAACATATTTTCTAGGCCAGGTATGAATTGTTCTACGGATAGAAAAGTTAAGATGACTTATTATGTTGCACAATAGCATAGTTATTTTGTAGTGCATTTATTTAGACAATAAAAGCAAAACAAAAAATATGCAACTTGTGATTTCGCAATAAGATGTTTACAGTGTAGTGGACTACTTTTGGGACAATTGATATCAAAATTATAGAGTGAAAGTCTACCCGCTATAACTCAAAATATGCACAATGTTATGGTAATGGGGTATTTAATAATTCAGTTGAACTGTTTCATGCAAACATTTTATTTTCTAAACTTTTTCTACTTGGCCAAATCACTCCTTTACCTTAAAATTCATGATGGACTTTATTAAATCACAAAACGATACTTTGTCCCCGATTCTTATACGGTGATCTTTTGGCTGTCCTTTAATTGATGGTCAATATTATTTGAGAAATTCTTCATAGTAACACATGTCTTTTGAGAACATCTCATATGGCGGCATTGATAACAAGTTGCTACAAAATTACTTTGATAAATTTGGTGCATCGGAAATCACCTTTCTGGATTGACCTTCATCAAGGACACTGAGTCCCAAAAATGTGAAAGCCCCGGATGTATAAATAACTGAATACGAAAGGAGCCGTATGACCAAAATGACGAAAAGATAATTAAAAATAACAAAGCTGAAGTCAATTCTTTACCTCAATTGGCCATCACCGTCAATTTCCATGCACATGTCAGACCATAGATGTATAAACCTATGGTCAGACCTACATGGCAGTATCTGTGGTTTCTTTTTGCTCCAGCTTTGGTAGATCGGTGCGACAGATAGTCACTGCAAGCTAACTTTGGATTTTATATTGTAAGGACTTAATTTTTATAGCAGTTGAGATAAAAAAAAGAAATGAAAGGACTTGAGAGACATTTTTGTAGGTTTTTTTTCAGAAAGCAACGTATGTAGTTTTTTTTCTTGCACGTCCTTTGATATATCATTTTACATTTATTGATATCATAACAACCAATACAATATTAATTACTCGCAACTCTGTTTATGTGTATATATTATGGTACTTCCGGTTAACTGTCCAGGGTTATCTTTGTAATATTTGTTGTATGATAAATACTGCATTTCTATGATCCTATTGTCAGTTTTATCATCTGTAGATGGCATTCAATGACATGTAATTGGTTTGATGTTTAATGATTAAGAAATCTAATTATCTATGTAATGATTTTACAAGATCCTTTGGTATAATATCTTAAGGAACATTGTAGATCATCCATGTTATTCCGTACTGTTTCCATTCTGAAGCGTTTAAATTAACTGTGAGGGTAATTTAGTGATAAGCTGTTAACATGTATATCATATATCAATTTTATTGCATCTTATCGGATTTAACAAATAATAAATTATTTGAAGCAATAACAGATAAACAGATGTCATGTTAATTTGACGAGAACCGTTTGCTGCTCCTTTCACTAGATGCATATTTATTATGAATACTTATACTTCTTGAAATAAAATTATGGTCTTTTTTAGATCACTTATGAATTTATATAGTTTTTAGAAATCAATGAATTATATTTTGGGTTTTCATATTGACAATGTATATAAATTATACGTATTTGAATTGTCAATCTTTCTGTCTTTTGGGGTGTAGTTTGATATAGAAAAATCCATGCCAAACAATATTCAGAAGATTAGAATTGCTTGCCATGTTAATTGGAAAAGAAGTTTAAACAATCTCACACTGAGTTTCGGCAAACATGAGAGTTAAAATAGTTTGAATCGCAATAACTCCGACAGAATGCAGTCATCAGAAGCATTATTTCTTAACTATCCTTCATCAAAAACAAACCGTTGGATTATAAAACGTGACACAGGATGACCTAAAAAAGAACTTCCATAAACAGTCACGGTAAGGCTAACTGTACCATTTTGAGTTGGAATTTTACTTTCATTATAAAAGTTAGTGCTGATGCGCCATAAAACAATCACCAATCAATCAATCAATCAATAAAAATTACAAAACTAATGATATGACTATCGCCAGAATTTTACTTGTCATAAGCAGAACTTGTGTCATTAGAACATGGTTCTCAATACACATCTTGTTTTCTTTGGATTTGTGCTGCTCAATCTTCGGTTTTCTTTGTAATGTTTTTTGAATCATTGTTTTTTTAATTTTTTTAGTTGTCTTCTATCGTTACTTTACCGGTCATTTCCTTTCACAATAGTTAGTTTGAGTACAGTAACCAGCATCTAGGTGTAAGTTTCAATTAATGATAGATTGTTTCAAGCTTCAATTAATGACGACATAATTCCAACAGGGTTCAGATTACTTTAATTGATAATTATCTATTTGCAGGACTATCCATTATTCAGATTGTTGTAGTTATCCTGACAACAACTAAGAGTCTGGAGACTGGTTATGATAGAGGTAAAATAGAATCATTTTATATCAAAATACAAGTGAGGACACAGACGCATATTGTCAGGGGTCACATGTTGACGCCGACACACAAATGTCTATGATGGCAAGGCTTATTTGATGATCTGTAATTTGAATGTTCATAATCATGGATAAGAGGACATGTTTATTTATTTGATAGATCATATATTAAAATATATAAAGAATAAAACTATAAGAAAGTTTAGAATAATGCACGATAGAAGCAACAACTAATGTCAGCTAATGTGCAATGGTTGACATGAAGTAAGAAAACTTAACAAACAGCTTCTCCCTTTCATACATACCAGTGTTCTTTGATTAGAGTGGTAAATACTAAATGCAAATACCAGATTTTTGTTCTACGGAAGGAAAAGTCTACTTTGTTAAAAACCACACGTATTCAAAAGAGAGCCGAAAGATACCAAAGAGACATTCAAACCCATTAGTCGAAAACAAACTGACAACGCCATGACAAACATTTAAAACGACCAGAAGACAAACAACAGTATACAAAACACAATATAGAAAACTAAAGACTGAGCAACACGAACCCTAACAGAAAAACAAAGTGTATCTCTGGTGCACCGGAAGGGTAAGCAGATGTTGTTCCATATGCGACACCCATCGTGTTACTCCTATAAAATCCGTTAATAAGTTATCAAGTGACTAGGCACCACAAAATAGCGGATTGGTCATTGACTCTTATCTGACCAAATTAATAAACCATTGGTAAATTAAAGGTTCTTATCCTGACCTTAAATATGAAAAACTCTATCAACAGCTTCATTTTTCAAATGACAAATAAAATGTGTTAATCTGAAAATTTTTAAAGATGGGTTTGATTACAATTTATCTAAAATTTTGCAACACTATTTTAAAATATTCTTCAGTGTGATAATTACCTATCGATCTCATTTAAGATATCGTCTTTGTCCTCCAATTTAACAGTGTTTCCTCTAAGCCATGTATACATAAATAAAAGTTTCTTGTCCAAAGAATTTTAAAAATTTCATCTTGGTAAAAAGCACACCGATTCAATTATGAATAGACTGTAACAATCATTAACAAAATGCAACACGATTTGATCGAAGAAATAATTGTTTAAGTTTGGTCGTCGGCTATTTCAAGACACAGTCAACATTCTAATAGGTACTAAAAATTCACCCTGAAAGCCGATTCGTACTTGTTTTCACCTGAAATAATCTATACAAAATATTAAAAAACAAAAACAAAATAAAGCGTCTCGCTAAATGTAAAGTTACACTTCCAGAGAATACATCTTGCCATTTCCTGAGAACTTGAATTCCGGATATTGCAAGATAAAAATTTCTGCTTCATACTTATGTCTTTTGCTAGACTAAAATTACGACAAATATAATAGTAAAGCGTCCTTCATTGAGGACAGTTCACTTGATAACTGCAAATATGAAAATTAATTAAAAATCTGAAATAACTATATGACTGGTAAATGCAAATAAGTTCCTTACCCGAGGCCGACACAAATGTTTACCTTGTGAAGAAGCACGTAGAAGTCATCGTATTTGTCATAGATCCGTGTCTCCTTAGTTATTTCTGATCTTTGTAACTAAATTTAAATTTTTATTTTTGGCTTAAATTATTAGTCTTTGATAAAGATTAGACAATATATATAATAATGCTGTTGTCGCAATTATTGTGTCTGGTATTTTTTTCATAGTTGAACACGATTCGTCAACTTATAGTTTGAAGCAAGTCTAAGACTAAAATGTTTCTGTTATTGTTTTGGCATGAAAATATTTAACCAAATACTTGGTATTGCACGAAATCGTGTCTTCCTGTTTTGTGTAGTGTAGAACAGTATCATTTCATATTATCAGGTTAAGTACCTTTTAACTTGCTTTTAGTAAATGCGAACATTAGTTTTGAGTACTTTTATGATATGATTATATTGAAGGTTCTTTAGTGTAGATTTTGATCCTCCACTAGTGGCATCATTCGTGTTACTCACAAGTTGCACCATTCGTGTTTCTCACAAGTGGTACTATTTGTGTTACTCACTAGTGGCACCATTCGTGTTACTTACTAGTGGTACTATTCGTGTAACTCATTAGTGGCACCATTCCTGTTACTCACAAGTTGAACCATTCTTGTTTCTCACAAGTGGTATTATTTGTGTTACTCACTAGTGGCACCATTTGTGTTACTTACTAGTGGTACTATTCGTGTTACTCATTAGTGGCACCATTCATGTTACTCATTAGTGGTACTATTCGTGTTACTAGAGGCACCATTCGTGTTACTCACTAGTGGCACCATTCGTGTTACTCACTAGTGGTACCATCCGTATTACTCACAAGTGGCACCATTCGTGTTACTCATTAGTGGCACCATTTGTGTTACTCACAAGTGGTACCATGCGTGTTACTCACAAGTGGTACTATTTGTGTTACTCAGTGGCACCATTCGTGTTACTCACTAGTGGTACCATTCGTGTAACTCACTAGTGGCACCATTCGTGTTACTCACTAGTGGTACCATCCGTATTACTCACAAGTGGCACCATTCGTGTTACTCATTAGTGGCACCATTTGTGTTACTCACAAGTGGCACCATTCGTGTTACTCATTAGTGGCACCATTCGTGTTACTCACAAGTTGTACTATTCGTGTTACTCACTAGTAGCACCATTCGTTTTACTCACTAGTGGCACAATTCGTGTTTCTCATTAGTGACATCATTCGTGTTATTCACAAGTGATACCATGCGTGTTACTCACAAGTGGCACCATTTGTGTTACTCATTAGTAGTACCATGCATGTTACTCACAAGTGGCACCATTCGTTTTACTCACTAGTGGCACCATTCGTGTTACTCATTAGTGGCATCATTCGTGTTACTCACAAGTGGTACCATTCGTGTTACTCACAAGTGGTACTTTTTGTGTTACTCAGTGGCACCATTCGTGTTACTCATTAGTGGCACCATTCGTGTTACTTATTAGTGGTACCATTCGTGTTACTCATAAGTGGCACCATTCGTGTTACTCACAAGTGGTACCATTTGTGTTACACACTAGTGCATCATTCGTGTTACTCATAAGTGGCATCAATCGTGTTATTCACAAATGGTACCATGCGTGTTACTCTTAAGTGGCACCATTTGTGTTACTCATTAGTAGTACCATCCGTGTTACACACTAGTGGCACCATTCGTGTTACTCATTAGTGACATCATTAGTGTTACTCACAAGTGGTACCATGCGTGTTATTCATTGCAAATAAAAATTCGATGATGAGAAGTAAAATAGTTGTCCAAAGGGTTAGGAAAGTAATGAAAAAATAGAAGTATAATTACACAAAATTCGAGATTCATGTAGTTAGAATGTAAATCATTATTAATTTTTTTTTTTGTAAAGTTTTGTTGAAAACATCCTTCTTAATATGTACGAAATCATTAATTACAACCAACATTAGACAAGTAACAAAATACACAAGCCAGCTTATTTTTTTTCAAATTATTTTTCCTGTTAACAGACATTAAATTGACTGAAGTAAAGTAAAGTAAGTTCATTCCTGCTGCATTAATACCAATTCTGTCTGGTAGTATCCAGACTTATGCATTTGAAATAACATTAAAACGGAACTAATATTACAATACCAGATGCGTATTTCGACAATAAATGTCTCTGCAGTGATGCTCGAAACCAAAATACATTGTATTTGAAAATCCAAATACACACGTATGAGCTGATAAAATCAAAGAGGACCAAAAGAATGCAAGAGGAAAATATTCTTTCCTTAAATATTTGATAATTTACAAAATTTTGAAACAGCAAATTTCAATATTATAGTAATCGTATATTTTAATACTAGTTAAAACATATACCTAAACCCAGGGAATTATATAACAATACAGATTTTTATCGGTTATTTATTAGCTATGCTGACAAATATTTCCAACTGACACGCGTTTGTACTTTATACTCTTCTTTAAATTATTTGGATTATTTAGATTGATCGCCTGACAATTTTCAGAAAAGTTTCATATCATAAATTGGCGACGGGATCCGTAATAACTATTTTAAATGATGTTGCATGAACATTATCTAAAAATGTCTGTAAAAGCCAAAAGTGTTAAATTTATTTCTTTTGAATTCCTGTTTTCGTTTGCTAATGTGAAATCTAATTATATAAAAAGATATAAATTAGAGTATTTATGATGAAGAAATGTGTCAAACTCTACATTTAGTATCAAGCTGCATTTTAATGCCAAACTTTACATACGTTCTAGCTAAACTTCTATCGATTATTCCGAAGACAACAATTTGTGAAATGTTTTATCTGTGATTTTAAATACTTTTTATGTTATTAAATCTGAGAATGTCATTAGCCGTTATTTTCGTTGCTATGCACGGTCGTTTTTATACCAGTGCAGAAAAGAAAGGCGTTTTCATGGTTTTACTGAACAAATAGTTGTAAACTACACCTCAGTGAGCTTGACTTACTGAAACAACCAAACAACACACTAAATTGCTTATTTATTGAGCTTTGAAGGACACAGTGTCTATGAAAGTCATTATAAACTGAATTTTTAACCGTGAACAAAACCATCAGACTTAAGTGCAGTAAACAAATATCATTAAACAGTAAATTTCAAAACGAATAAGTCTAGCATGCAATACAGCATTGCTATAGAACAATGATTTGTGCTGATTACTTTTGCTTATTGTAATTATCAATTTTGTTGTCGTTCTTGTTGCTGTTGTTTCGATGGATATAAACGAATACTGTTTAACTTAGCACCGATAGTATTGTTGATGATACCTTGGGAACTATTGTTTTATATTTGATTCAAATCTGTACTCATAAATTGAAATTTACAAGGTTTTGTATCATAAATAATCGCTGGCCTGTTTATCCCCTTATCGATATTTTCCCCCATCTCTGATTATACAAGGCAGTAACAAGTCAGCTTTCCAATGCTTTCTCGGCAAGCTCTTAGATTTTGCTGGATGCAATTTACTGGCTAGAAAAAAAAATGTCTGATTGATATGTAAGGATGCGAACAGAGCTGAGAACGTGTTGCAACAAATGCAAAATTCTTGTCAAATTAAAAATGATTTGCTTGTCTCCTTCTTTTTAAGGTCAGATACAATAGCTTTTTTCTATCGGTTATAGGAATTCGTATCCTCGGTCCTTGAAAGGGGAGGTAATATTATTTCAAACTTTCCTATTCGGTCATTTCTTGCTGATATAGTTGATAAAAGGATACACAAGTGACCAATCTTCTAATCGTTGATGTTTTATTGTTTTAAATAGAAATATACTGTTTTGTTTTATGAACTACAAGACTTGTATCACCAGTGTAACAGACACTAGTTTGGAATGACAATTACTTAATAATTCAGTAAGTGCAGATTTTATGCGGTTACAATTAATGTTTTGTTACAATTAATGTTTTGACACTAATTTCATCTTAGAAATGTTTATAGTATTTCAATATCTGCATATAATTGCTTATTACTAATAACTTCATTACCATCTGAATTCATCATAAATGTTGATGGTTAATCTGTCCAACAATGTCCCAGGATGTATCGGTATCGCAGGCGTAAGTACCTCGTTACTTCCTATATATCTAATTGTCGTTACACGAAAATGCAAACATAATTCACAATAATCTATAGAATTACAATAATAGATCATGTTTGAATAATACAAAAAATGCAATGTTTTACTGCTGGTATGAGGCAGAAAGGCTTACTATTTCTGTTTTTAAGCCATTTTCTATTTATGATTTGTTTTGTCCATTATTTTCTATTTTATATGTTTTAGCACCTCATTATTCCTAAACAAATTTTATTTGTTGGCCCCTAATTCTTTTTTTGCCATTAATCCCTATTCTGTAATCCCATTCTAGACCTCCCTGTGTATCACACAATTGCATGCATGTTTATAAAGATATCCACTGTTGCTATATATTATTCTGTTACGGCACAACAAAGCTTCATGTAAGTATTCAAAGAAATTATTACCATTATTATTATAATTGTTGTTATTGTATTTGGAGTGGCATCGTGTACATCGGATATCCAGTTACTTAATTAGATCTTAAAAGGCATTGGTGTCGTCTCATGTCGGAGGCAACAACGTGACGCCTAGGTGTTTATTTTCGATACCGTCTTACTGTTAATTATCCTAAACTTTGTTACAGGAGAAGCTGATTGTGTTGAAAACCGTCAGAGTATAAAGTCTCATATGGAGAAAGGAGACTATGGTTATATTACCTCTGCCTCATTCCCGGATAACTACACAGCAGAAGACGGACATTCCTGTAGCGTTGTCATCAAATCATGCAGTACATGTTATATAAAAATAACTTTGGAAAATGTAACATTTCCTCGATGCATCTTTAAACATTCCAAACAGAGACAAGTTTGTATAGCAGGGTATGTTACTATAACGATACAGAGAAGTGTGAACAGCATACCATGATCTTCATTAGCACACTGTCATGATAGTGTTTGTTTTCAATTGTTGAATTCTACCATTCTAGCTATAGATATAATTGTATAAACTAACAGGTTTTATTTCCAAATTTTGCAAGATTAGGAATGTATGGGGTCCGTGTACATGACAAATTACGATATAGATGGAACATTCGAACTTGTCAAACGAGTAGTCCTCTTTTTGCTGTTGTTTATAATGAGGTTACGTGATTGTCCTTGCAAACTCAAGCTGGTATCAATGATCACAGCTTCATATTTCTAGTGTGTTATCTAGAGGAGTACTGATGTTAAAGTCAAATCTCTGGTATAAAACTTCCTCTGAAAGACAAAAATCAGCAAGCAATTAGAGAGCAATGTCCAAATGTAAACAGCAAACAACACAGAAAACTCAAGCTTTAGTAATTCTTGTTCGGATTCCCATTATTACAGACAGTAAAAATAGATGCCTTGATAGCCTGTCAACACTGAGGTTGTGAGTTCGAACCCCGAACGTAGCGTAATAAAAACTGTTTGCCACTATAGCCAATAGTGCTTAAAGTGGCGTTAAAACACCAACATTCAACCGTTCAATATGTTATGTACACGTTAACCAAAAATTCTAAAAGTTGCACCAAGACAACAAGTGCTTATATTTATCTGTCTCCTTGTTGAATCGGATACAATATACAAAAATAAATCTCTGTTACATAATTAAATTATTGAAAATATCAATTAAGTTTCATGATGAGAAAAAAAAACCAACTACTAAGATGAAACGCTATGAGGTATATTGTGTGAATTATTAGTTTGCAAACCTAAAAATATTTGATTATGAACCTTTGTACCATAAGAAATCAGATTTGAGCCGTAATAGTTATTCAGTGTCCATAAGAACAGCTAGTTCTAGACATAATTTCTTGTCTTATGTCCGCTTATAATGGTCAAAATTATAAAAATTTTATTAACAGTAAATTTACAGAAAAAGAACAGAGGAGTGCTGGCAAGTGGGTTGGTGGTGCCCTCGGGGACAAAACGTTCAGTGTTTCCAAAACTTTTCAGAACTCGAGCCTGCCTGATTAAGGTTACTGGTAACTGCGGTCGTCCTGAATGTATTTACTATTATACTTGCATAAACATTAAAAATGAGAGACTTGCTGTAAGCGGTTCCTTCTCACTATGAATATTATTCATTCATATTACCTCATAATATCCGTCACACTCATTTCTGCAAAATTGCAACAACAAAAAACAAAAAAACAAGTGCACTTCATGGTTTGTATGGTATGATATTGCAATGAGAGGTTGGAATTCATTTTCAAATGAAAGTCGATAGGATAATTAGGTCCTGCATGAATTTGGTTAAATTTTGTGTAAGCATCTTAAAGAAACTGAATTTTTATTTTCTGAATACATAAAAGACAACAAACAATATTTAATAACCATTCAAAAGTTGAAATTTTTCGTTTCGGGAACTATAGAAATTCTTTCATAACAACAAAAGTTGGTACACAGAGAAAAAAAAACCTAAATTCATTTTTTATAAATGTTAAAAAATAAAGATAGAAATCTTTAATTATTCAGAAATTGCTTACCGATATTTGCAAAAACAAGATTAGCAATTCAATGTTATAATGGTAGTTGTCATTCTATAGCTATCGCCGTCTTTTAACCTTTTGTATTTCATTTCATTGAACAACTTGTAACAATACCTTTCTTAATCAGTGTTTTGACATTCAGTTAATTTTAGCAATAATGAGAAGTACTGTATTGTCTAAATTATTCTTCTTCCATTACAACTATATATTGCAAACAAATTAATATAATTTCCTGTACAACCCATCAACGATGCCATTACGTACCATTCCGCATATAAGTTATAACAAGTTCAAATCGTGACTAAACCCTTGCAATTGCTTGACGGTTACATCACTTTCTGATAATCATCATTGAAACTGTACGTAGATAAGACTTTGGTTTAAATACATGAAGGACAGATATGCTAAATAAATATTTGTTAAATAAACTTACGATTCTTATTACATTGCGCACGGCACGTGTTATTGAAATTAAGAGGTCATTTTTAGGTTATCAATTATACTGAATAGACAAAATATGCCCAGATCTAAGTCACTCAGAGTCTAGAAAAGTTGTGAACAACTTTGTTTAATTATTCACCGATTAATACTTTCCCCGAACAATTAATTATTTTTTTTTGACGCTTGATCTTAGTTTTTGATCGGTCGAAGCTCAATTATGACGTCACGTTTTCTTACTTTCTTCTGATTTCCCTTTTGTTACTTATCAGAAAGAAAGGTGAACATGTCCAATGACGTTATAATAACATAACAGGTACCAATTTTAATGCACTAGATGCACATTTCGACAACTAATGTCTCTTCAGTGATGCTCGAGGCCAAGGAAAGAACTCGTTTTCTACAGATCAATGAAAAAGAATGATATATTATGCCTATATAACCTCCATAAAAGAGAGGTGAAAGATACCTAAGGAACATTCAAATTCAGAAGTCGAAAATGAACTGACAACGCCATGGCAAAATAGAAAAAAGACCAAATGACAAACAACAGTATACAAAACACGACATGGAAAACTAAAGACTGAGCATAATGAACCCCACCAAAAACCGGCGGTGATCTCAGATGCTCCGGAAGGGTAAGCAGATCCTGTTCCATATGTGGCACCCGTGGTAATGCTCATGTAAGTACAAACCAGGTGATAAGTCTAATTTGGTAGGTCACATTCGGGGATGGGGTAGACGGGATTGTGGTTACGACGGTTGGAAACAGGTATTCCATAACTGTCAACCAATTTGTTTTGGCGTCCGTAAAATTTTCGAAGGGATGATTTCAAATTCCCCACTTGAAACTCTTGGTTTAATAGCTTCTTTGTGAGCAGCAACCCTCTATCAAGGAAATCATCGTAGGAAACGCAAGCCCTGGAATATCGTCTCAACTGGGAGACATATACTCCATATGCAGGCGCTGCTGGAATGCTGCTATATAGAAATGGAAAATTCAAAATTGAGAAGCTGAAATCATCTCTTTTGTCGTAAATTTTTGTTCTTAAACGTCCCTCATTGTCATTTTCTAGACGTAAGTCAATATATGAGGCAGACTTAACTGTAGCGTTTATTCATTGAAATTGTTGAAATCCACCACCGGATCTCGTGCGATACCATTCATTAAAATTTATTTTAGAATTACGTATTTTATGCCTTTTTCATAGTTTATTTTCATATAGCCAATGGTCTTACTTGTGGGTTTTAAGGTAACATATATACAACTAAAATAGTATTTGAATCATTAGTAGCATGTTAAAAACTAATCTCTTTACCTAGAATAACCAATTATTTTTCAGCTGTGATCATTTGCAAATCCATGAGGTGGACCCACCTTACATCAGTGTGACAAGGAAGAATTACTTTAGTTCTGATGAAGGACAGATCTATATTTCCCTCTCGTCTAATGTACAGATCAGGCATTGCATGTCAAATAAAACCAGTGATCATGGTAAAAGGTTTCGTGTCATCTACGAAATTATGGGTAAGTTAAACAAACACAGAGATTTAAATTGTGAATTTATTGGTCACGAGTTCGAAAAAAGGAAAATACATCTAAAGTGCATAAATACAAAAATGTACTTCAAAATAGACCATACTCTTTTCGAAATACTAAGGATCTTCTACCCTAGAAATAGTATTTGGCAAAACCTTTCGCAGTTTTTTGTTCTCAATACTCTTCAACTTCGTACTGTATGGCTAACTTTTTTTAACTTTTTGATTCGAGAGTCACTGATGAGTCTATTGTGGACGAAACCCGCTTCTAAGCCTGGTAACTATGACGAGTTTATTCTTTTCAATCATCAATATCATTCGGCTTTGTCTAAATCAAACCAATGCATATTTAGCTAGCCAAAAATGCTACCAGATACTATAAAAATAAAATTAAACTCTTTTTATTTTCCACTGTCTGTTTATTTTCCTTTGGTTTTGTCTAAATCAACTTAACGTACATTTCGCAGGCAGAAATACTTCAAGGTAGTTAAAAAATGCACCATTCTTTTATTTTTCTCTGTCTTCGACATATGCCTTCGATTATGTCTAAATCATTATGAACTTTAATTCCATTTCGATAGGTCTATGCATAGTGGAAAGGAAACTTAAAATCAAAATTTGATGTTAGCAGTAGGTTCAAAAAGTCATACATGAAATATTACTTTGTTATGGAAGGTACATTTCCATCAGTATATCTTATATTAATAGCCATTAAAGTTATGAAATAAACGAAAATAGAGTAGTTTACTATTTGTTATGTTGTGTATTCAGGCACTGCACTCTTTTGTAATTTGCTACTGTTTTCTGTCGAATCAACAGGTAATGGGTTTCCCAATGCGTAAAAATAACTCTGTTCAATAATGATAACATAACAGCTAATACATACAGCTGTTATGATATCCAAAGGACGAAATAGTTAGAAAAAAAAAATGTAAATTCTCCAATCCTTTTAAACTTATGTAAGTTCTATAGATAAAAAAGGATGACAACTCATAAAATTCAGACGAGAATTCTGAAAATTTCTAAATATCTACTTCAAAGCCTTCAATCACAATCATTACAATTTTACAGCAATTTCAAGACTTTATATATTTCTACGCTCTACACTACTATATACTCCCATGCTTTACTGAAAGATATTTTCATTAAACAGTTCCATTTGACATAAATGTTAATCATCGATACATATTCCTTGTTTAAGGACATGAACATATTACTTTGTGAAGAACCACAACCGTTTCAAAAACAAATATATCGAAAATATTTGCATCAAAATGCTAAACTTTTAGATTTAGACAAACAGTTGGTTTTCCAATAGGTACGAACTGTGCACATCTACTGTCCAAGATGTTTATGTACTCAACAGAGCAGAAATAATGCAAAACCTCCCCAAAGACAATAAGAAAAATCTTCTTTCTTTTTTTATATCCCATCATATGACATTTACATATCTCAATCGATAAGTAGCGCTCGTCTTTGCTCACATTGTACTGAATTCATATACAGGGATGTACTACTGACAAAAAAAAACTGCACCACATGGTAACGAGGTAGAACGACCGAAATCAACACAGCATACATTTAAAAGTCATGATCACGAATTGGTTGATCAGTACGACGTGTTTGTGTTGCAGCTCAAAAGACATGATTTATCTGTCTTTTTTTTTTATCTTCCGATGCCAAAATAGTCATCTGAGATGTAACTCTACCGATTATGTCCTATTTCTTATTTTGGCATTTGGAAAGAGTGTTGGTTGTCCTGGTGGATGATGCGTACATAGCATGAAAGTTTATCCAATCGAAGCACCCTGTTTTGCTCTATTTGGATTGCATGTGATTTCCCCAGGTTATTTTTACCTTAACTGATAGGATTGAGAATGGAAACGGGGAATGTGTCAACGAGACAACAACCCGATCAAAGAGCAGAGATGGTATGCTTTGATCGGATTTATGAGATTTAAACATCGGTTAACTAGTGTTGCTTCTAATTGAATGCACCCCGTGTTAATGTTTACACCTTCTCTGTGGTCGTCTTGGTTAAAATCAGAGAGACCAAGTTTTTACATTTTATCAAACACTGGCGGAAGTTAAAAACATTGTATAATGTATTTTTGTATGCAGATTTAATGTTGTTCAACAATCAACCGTTAATTTAATAAGAAAATGATAAAAAAATATTTAAAAAAAACAAGGCTATTAAATAGCTTGCTTTATGTATAATCATTGCCATCTTCTAGAAAAAAATGTAATTTGTGTCGAAGTAAGAATAGGCGAAATATTATTAAACCTTTACTATGATAATCTCTAATTTTTACAATAAAGTCAAATAAATGAAATGAAAGCTATTCATTACAATTTTTAAAATGTTTACCTCCAAAAAATTAAACTAACAATGCCAGAGTATAATCAATAAATCGCAAAAAAAAAACTTTTCAAAGTCATTCAGCTTTCGATGTCCTTCAGGAAACACGGTAAACAACAAACCAAATAAAAATGGGAATAGACACATGTAGCAGGGAATTTAAATGTGCAAATTAATGAAAATTAAGTTAAAGTAAAAGATTGACTACATATATGATTCTAAAATATGTGTCTTAATTTTTTGGAGACAAAAATATCAAACGATGTTTTGGTTTCAATTGGACTTATTCCGTACAGCAAGAATTCATCATTAATTTAGAAATATTTTTACTGGCATTTTTCTGTGTAAATGAATTCTACTTTAATGAAGACAAATGATTTTAAATCCTTTCAGTAATTTAGAATGCTTTATCTTTTAAAAGAATATACTAAAACGCAAAACTATATTGTTGACATGATTCATCATTACAGAGAAGCTGGAAACTAAGCAAGGCATGGTAACATCACCTTTCCCAACAAAGGAACCGAGTGGATACATCACGTCACCAAACTTTCCAGATGGGTATGCTCTAAATGGCGAAACATTTACATATACCTTACAAAATCTAGATCCTTATGGACATATCAGATTAGTGTTTGATGACTGGGAAATAGCCAGGGAAAGTGAAATACAGGTAAAAATGTGCTTAAATATTAAAACAGGAACGTTCTGATGATAAGATACTTTTGGGCAAATAACATGTAGATGATAGAAAGAAATGCAATTCGATCACCATGAGCTGGTAGATAGACCAGTTTATTAGTCAACTGTCTAAGTTTAGTGATACTATGTGTTATTAAAAAAATGAACCAAACTTAGTCTGCTGGAGTCTGGTGTGCTAACCTATACGCCTTTTTAACTATAACTGATCTTCATAACAGGATTTGCCGACGTATTCGTTCAAATTCATGATTGTGCCAAATGCTCAAAGTAAATAGATTTAAAGTTCATTTTAAAAAAAATGGATTTCCTTAATGTTAAATTAATTTTTAGCCTTGAATTATATGTTTGATACGTTAGAGCTATATACCTCACTACTCCTTTTTGTAAAAATAAAAGTTGTTTAGATATTTGTTTATAACAACCCGAATCATACAAATTCAGGTGACCAGACGACCTTTAACAATGTATATAACATCCATATAATGTTTTGACAGGACATTGTGAATAATACGTTAATAACAAATCAATATAGAGTTTTAGGTTTTTTAAATGTAAGTTTTGGTACAATCAAATTACCTAATGCAAATAGAAAAGAAAAGGTGCTTTGGCATATACAGTCTTAGACACTTGGCATTTGTATATTTTTGAAGGAATTATCGCTTTGAGATCTCAATTGAACTCAGTGACAGCATACAGACATGTGTTTTGATATATTATGTAGAAAAATCGGTGTTTGTATAAGTGATAAAGTCATTAACAGCAACGACAAAAAATAAAAGAAGTGCGTTTGCGTCTGTTATTTTTATCCACGATATTATCAATGTAGAATAATATTTCTTGCTCTTTCGCATATCCATGCACATCATCAAATGATTTCCAAATAGATATAGTACTTGATTTTGGTTGTCGGATATATGTCAATTTGAGTGCAATTAGGCGTATTATTATTTTCATAAGTAAGTGATACTTTACATATTGTGGTGAAAGAAAAGTTCTCTAAATAACTTTTTAATATGAAGATTTTCTGTCTGATTGGGAAAAATGTTCTAAAATGTTTCCAACTATGGTTTTCTATATCATCGCTATTTTGACCCAACTTAAACTATTTTAAAAGTGTGTTCTCTAATGGTATTATTTTATATTTCATTAATTATTACTTTATATGGTTTTGGTTAAGGGCTTTGTCACATTTTGTTGTACTAGTATATCCATGTATCTATAATGAGTTTTTACACTAGAAATTCATGATTTCTGGGAGAATTTATATGGTTGAAATGGATATTTTACTTTTTTTTCTTCTTGATATTAAAATGATTGTTTTAAATCATTCTGAGGTGAAATTTAAAGTGCATGTTTTACTTCGCAAATTATTTACAACATACAAGTAGATGTTAAATTCAAATATTTATGAGCAAATTAAATTTACATTCTAGATGTATGATGGCCTGTATGCCCCCAAACCTGCTGGTGTTTATAGACGGAATAGCCGTCCGGTAATTGTATCACATTCCAGTACCATTATAGTCGTATTTGTAACCGGCAAAAGTAACCATAGATGTTGTCAACCAATCGGATTCAAAGCCTCATATTTCTTTGTAGCAGGTAGTAACACTGTATCGAAAACATTCCGACTCCGAATTTTTGGAATCTATTTTTTTTAGATACATGGATATAAGTGAACATCCTATTACTGTATGTAACTTGTTCTGAAAAATTCAACAAAACAAATGTATTTCTTGTCAATACTAGTACATGTAAGTCTTTTTACATTTCTAATTGAAACTAACACACGTAAAGGTTATATAAACCGTAGTGTGTGGTTTACGAAATTTTCAAATACAATCCGTTCTATATGTCTAAAATTGAAAAGTTTTTATCCAACATAAACCAGTTTTGTTGAAATTTTAAACAGAAAATACGGAAAGATTTCATATTTTCAAATTAGACATAGATTCCAACAATCAAAGATGGAGTGGATTTGACACAGTTAAATATAAGAAAATTCAAAATGAAGAATACTTGTGTTATGGGTATGGAAGTTATATGTTTTAGACTATTGCACAAGGAGAGTCTAATTCATTAAGTGTTCTCTTACAAATCTTTTAGAATTTTTAAGTGTGAAACCTGAATCTCACTGTGCGTATAGTATGTAACTCTTAAGTAAGAGTTTGATTGCTGATAGAAAAGATGTTATTAGAACTAAGGTTGAAACTCTTCAAACGGAGATGACCATTAATGGGGCTGGCTTTTTTTATGTTCTTTTGGTTTAATCCTCCCAATCCTTTTATATTTTTTAGGCGGCCTTCCAAACTTTATTTTAATTTTGATATATGTTTTAATTTGTTTTGTCCTAACGTGAATTTCGTGTTGATGACAGATCTTAAACTTTTATATCTGTTAAGTTTAAGAGTAGGAGAATTTGCATGCCCAAGGGTTTTTTAACTTGTGATGCCTTGGGGTTAGTTAAGAGACATAAACCTTTCCGCAATTGTGTGATTGCTCATCGTCATATTAGACATCAACGTATATTAAGTAACATTGCGTATACCACTAGAGGAGCACCTGTGTTCACTGCCGCTTTTAACTGGGTTTGTGTTGATCGATCTTTAGTTTTCTGTGTATTAATTTCTTATTGTTGTTTTCCTTTTGTTTTTTTTTTTGCCATGGCGTTGTCTGTTTACTTTTCATTGCACCTATGTTTTTACTGCCAAACGGTATCTTCTCTTTATCTTTTATAGTCTTATAAAGTTTAATTCATTCTCAAATTTTATTAGACTTAGACGATCAACATATTTGCATACTGTGGATGAAGACTGTATGTTTACATGTATATTTATTTACTCAGTTGTGTTATTGTTTAATTGATTCTCCATCGTATTTCAGAAAAACTTTGTAATACATAAATCATAAATTTAATTTAAAAAAAAATACCATAATTGTTTTAACAAATACTGTATTTTAAACTCAATTTAAGACAGATTATACAAAAGAAATACTCACAACAAGTAAAGACACTTTTGAATTGGACATACTTGTTACTAATATTGAAAATTCTTTGATTCATGAAAAGTTTTTTAATATTAGTGTATTATAAGGTGTAATACCACCAAATCATAGTACGTCACATCCGGTTTCATACGAAAATGGGTCGATAAAATTGTTTCCTTGAATTTGACAGTTGTAGGAAATTAATCCTTCATTTCATTGCAGTTCTGAGTCATAAACATATATCTTGGGTGTTTCAAAGCACCATTCTTTTTTTATTGGGTGTTTTTATAAAATATTTTGGAAACTTGAGGTTACATGGTTACTAAAGCTTGTAAACATGAAAAAAGGGGTGAACATTTGATTGGTTAACTTCCAGTGATGGTTATTGTCTTATATGCAATGAAATGTTATGTGTTATTTTATCTGAAGTACTGGACAGGATAAAACTTTTCTCATGCCAAGTATTTCTTTATTTGAAACAAAGATAAATTCTGCAATTTTTTTTGAAAAGTGCCTTTTTAAAAAAGACTATAGGGGAAAAACAATGGTGGTTTTACTCCTATAACAAACATTTACCTCCTTAATTTTAAAACAAAATATATGAGGAATTATTGTTTTTGTCGTATAGATCTTTCTGAACAAACTTTCATAACTTTATTTCTTAAATATGTATCTTTTTTTCTTTTACTCATACAATTTGTACTTTTACTTTTCTGTTTAGCGATATCCCAAAAATCGAATAAAAAGTAAAATAACATAAATACCGAACTCCAAGGGAAATTCAAAACGGAAAGTTCTTTATAAAATGGCAAAATCAAAACCTCTAACAACCGTCTTATTCCTGAATTGGTACAGATAAACTGAATATAACATATTATACAATTCAAAAACTAAACATAATCAGGAGTACTTTTACTGTTTCATTATACTGTTCATATACTTAAGACTGTTTAATCGTAACTGTAAGCATAGAGTTTGTTTTTATAGAAAGTACATTAAAAGTTGGAAGAAATTGTGTCATATGATAAATTAGACGTAAGGGTTATTGTCTCCAGTGTATTAATTTGTGGAGATTATTTAATCATTTACTGAGTATTTACTTAATTGATGCAGAAAAGGTCAGCATTTTTCTACATGACGAAAAACAATCAGTACATAAATATGCAGTTATACTAGACAACTTAAACGATGATTTATTATTAATGGGACAACTCATCAGAAATTTGTTCCTACGTGTTATTAATGTCATTTCATTGTGATATACGAAAAGGGCACAGTCGAGCGTAATTTTCAGGCGACATTAAAATTGATTCAATAAAATATAACACTTTTGAAAATGTGTGCTAATCTTTTATTAATGAATGAAATTACTGACACACTTTTAATAAATGACATGCATCAAATTTTAGAAAATAGACATGCAGTTATCCAAGTTAAAGCTTAAATCAGCATAAAATGTTTGTGTAGTATTACCAACAATATTACTGCTAAATAAAATTAAGTTTGATGAATTATCGTTTTCAAAGGAGTTGATAATAAATTATGAGTCCGTCTAATGCATATTTTTAAGCAAATGACGTACCAAACAAATGAAAATTGTGTAGTCTTTGCCCCATATGAGTTCTTTTGGACACTGATTTAAAAAAAATAAACAGAAGATACCAAGGGTACAATGGAAAATGATAAGTCGAAGAAAAAGAGACAATACTATGGACAAATAGAAAAAATACGAAAAGATAAACCATTGTCTTTAAAACACAACAAAACTAAAGATTGAGTAACACGAACCTCATATAAACCCAGGAGATAACTCAGGTGCCCCCGAAAGGTGAGCATATCCTACAGCACTAGTTGTGCTCCATACAAATGGTAATTAAAGTCAACACTTGCCGCAAGTCACTCGATTCTTTTGGTATTTTTTCCCTTACCCTTCCTAGTTATTATGCATATATGGAGAATTGTATGTTTCAATAACGATTACAGTCAGTAAACATATAAATTGAGGTTGGCATGTGAGGAATTTATTCGCACATCAACATCTTAAACCATCTTACACATAACTCATATTGTCTGCTGCTTTCATTATTCGTTATGTTATGACGGAAATGATAGCAATATATAGTAATCAAGTTTTTTTTTATTATAACTATTTATTGGAACGTTTTCTTGTGAATTTATAATCAATATCGTCCTTTCAGAGAACGTTTAAACATTGAAGAGTTCTATTTGTCAGTGATTACAATGGTGATATTTTTTTGTTATCAGATTTCCAACTGATGTATGAAACAAGTAAACATGAATTTAAGTTCCAAACTCCAAGATGAATACATTATGTGCGACGAAAAGATGTACATCAACTGATGTTTACTTTTAGTCTTTAGATAGTATGGTATTGTTATAAAGTCGCAAAATATCGACTTCAACTTTTTCTTCAAAGAAGGGCGTTATATAATTAAGTTAAGCATGATCTATATAAAGTCCGGATTTTTTAAAAAAGTTTCCCCAAAGTCAAACTGGGGATGGCATATCACGATAATACACAAATTGGATAATTGAAACTATGCATTTTCAAGGTAACTTTTGATCTTTCAGTTTGGCGTTTTTCTGCTTTAAGAAATCTTAAATCTAACTCCAAGAATAACGTTTGTTTTACATAAAATACCACACAACGAACAACAAATTATGCCATACGATTATTAGACGTAATGATTCTTGCCTTCAGGGTACTAATTTATGGACATTATTCACCCATTCATCCATGAGGTATTTATATGTTGTTTTCATTTCGTATACCCTTGTATGCTAGTGTTTCCTTGTGATTTGATGTGCTGTGTGTTCTAGTGGCTGTAGGGACTTTTATTGTTGACGTCTCTGTCGGATTTGTTTGTTTGTTTGTTTGAATGTTTTAGTCAGTTGTTTTGTATGTCTGTGATTTATGTTTACACAGTTTTTGCTGTTGGATCTCATTTATTGTCATTTTAACCAATTATGTCTGTTTGGGTTGCTCTCCCACTTTTTTCATTATAACGGAACTGTGGACAATTGTCATACAAGAGGGTGGTTTGTCTAGCTAAATCACATGTTTATACCACAAGTTTTTTCGGTAAATGCCTGTACCAAGACAGGAATATGACGGTTGTTTTTCATTCTCTCTGTTGATAAGTATAGTCTAGCGTTTTATTCTGTAATATTTTATGGACCTCTCCCTTTTTGAACTTACCTTGAAGTTCGGTATTCATGTTAATACTTTTTACAATGAAGCGTGAATCAGTTAGAAAGCTTTAAAAAAACTTATGGTCAGGGTTTTCGTTCATGTAAATGCATAAGGCGGGATATAGCACTTCTAAATGTAAATGTAAAAAGCAAAAGATGTTGTGCAATTCCCACTGTCATGATTCACTCATATGCTGAAAACAATTTGTGAATTTTAGTCAAATTGTAATTTGTACAAGCATTTTTGGACAAATTACAATTTGTATTAAGTTCACATACAATTATAATTTGTACAATTGTTGTGTACAAATTATAATTTGTACAAAATGATAATGTGTACTCAGGGTACAGTCGAGAACAGTTTTCTAGCGCGACATTAAAATAACAACACTTCTGAAAATTCTTTTATGAAATGAATTACAAGTACTGAAAACACTTTTAACAAATGATATGTTTCCATTTCAGAAAAGTTTTGGGCAGATAAACCAAATAACAGTAAGTGCATAATTCTTTTATCTAGTGGGGGAGGGAGAAAGAGAACTTTTGCGCTACGTTTAGCATTGACCTTTAAATCGTACCATGTTTGTCGAACCGACTATCTTAACCAGTAGCAAGTAACTGCGATCAGATAATTCTATTTTCCCTGAATTTCCGATCGGTACAAATGTATCAAAGAATCTAAAGTATGAAATACACAATGATAATGTGAATAGAACATATGATGACTGATTATTCATATAATAATTACATACAGGTTCATTTTAAACACTAAATTGTATTATTGCATTTCCTTGTCGCTAGTTTATATTATTCTTTCGTTGTTGTCATGTTTACATTCTTCAATCGTTTATTTTGTAGATTGCAGTTTAAAACTTGACAAGAAACCGGGAGGGGTTCTTGAATTAAGTCAAGTAATGAAAATAAAGCCAGCGATATATGACTGTATATGGATAATAAAGCGGCCCCAAGGACGAACGTCAGATGGTATTCTACTTCGATTGGTGGAGATCGTTATGGGTCAAGGTAAGAATTCAATTTAGCCATACGATAACTTTAGCGTTTCCCTACTTTAATGATACTTGTCTGCTGATACAAATCTTAACTGTTGTTAATTGGTAATCATTTTCTCAATTTTGAACATTCGCATGTACTCTGACCCTTCCTTTTTTTTTAGTTAAGTTCTAAATTCGATTCGTTTGTCTTTTGTTGCAGGATGGATAAAGTATGGTAACAACAGTTTGGAAATGAGAAATGGGGCTACTTCACTGGGAAAACTTATTGTCTCTTTCTCTTCCAGTAACATCAGCTATGGAATGTGGTTGAGCTCAACTGACACGGTCTATATCAGACTGCGAGGGGCATTAGAACCCGAGGACAAACTTAAATTTATATATACAGTTGTTGACAATGCTACAGACGGTAATTTGCATCATTTATTACTGAACAACGTGTATTTTTAGAAAGTAAAACGAAAAGTTTTGAATTATAAAACTCAAGGAGATACAAGACAAATCAAAATAATACGTGTGTAAAAAACAAACAACATTGAAAACTAGATTTAAATATCAGGAGATGTGTTATTATTGACAATGAGACAACTATCTTCCAAAGACCAAAGAAGAAGGATTTACACAACTAAACAACCTTGAACTTGAACTGAATGCATGCTCATGACTTGGTACAGGCACATAAAGAATATGGATGGGGTTGATATAAGAATAAGAAAATGTGGTATGTTTGCCAATGATGCAACTCTTCACCAGATACCAAATGATGTAGAGTTTAACAACTATAGGTCATCGCACGGCCTTCAACAATGAACAAAACCCTTACCGCATTGTGAGCTATATCAAACATGTTTGTCAGTGCTCAACTCTCCCCTAACCATTGACAGTGGTGTAATAGCACAACATAAGAACAAACTAAAAATTCCTGTTGGAAAAGGCTTGACTCATTGGATCGGTATTAAACATACAAAAACCCTAAAGCTCAGTTCATTGTGACTGAAAAATGTGACGAAAGTGTCATTTTCTAGTTTCTTGATAACAAGACAATGATTATAACTATTAATTATATCTAACAATTCGTGGTTAAAAGTTGGAATCGTAAAGTGAGCTTCAAAATGCCCTGGCATGACAAAATGTGAAGCAATTAAACTAACGGCCTGATTGATGCTTTTAAATCAATAAACACACAAAAAAAGACAGACTGCATTTAACGACAACCTTGAATTGAATGCATGCTCTTGACTTGGTACAGGCACATTAAGAATATGGATGGGGTTGATATAAGAATAAGAAAATGTGGTATGTTTGCCAATGATGCAACTCTTCACCAGATACCAAATGATGTAGAGTTTAACAACTATAGGTCACCGCACGGCCTTCAACAATGAACAAAACCCTTACCGCATTGTGAGCTATATCAAACATGTTTGTCAGTGCTCAACTCTCCCCTAACCTTTGACAGTGGTGTAATAGCACAACATAAGAACAAACTAAAAATTCCTGTTGGAAAAGGCTTGACTCATTGGATCGGTATTAAACATACAAAAACCCTAAAGCTCAGTTCATTGTGACTGAAAAATGTGACGAAAGTGTCATTTTCTAGTTTCTTGATAACAAGACAATGATTATAACTATTAATTATATCTAACAATTCGTGGTTAAAAGTTGGAATCGTAAAGTGAGCTTCAAAATGCCTTGGCATGACAAAATGTGAAGCAATTAAACTAACGGCCTGATTGATGCTTTTAAATCAATAAACACACAAAAAAAGACAGACTGCATTTAACGACAACCTTGAATTGAATGCATGCTCTTGACTTGGTACAGGCACATTAAGAATATGGATGGGGTTGATATAAGAATAAGAAAATGTGGTATGTTTGCCAATGATGCAACTCTTCACCAGATACCAAATGATGTAGAGGTTAACAACTATAGGTCACCGCACGGCCTTCAACAATGAACAAAACCCATACCGCATTGTGAGCTATATCAAACATGTTTGTCAGTGCTCAACTCTCCCCTAACCATTGACAGTGGTGTAATAGCACAACATAAGAACAAACTAAAAATCAAAGTTGGAAAAGGATTGACTCATTGGATCGGTTTTAAACTTACAAAAACCCTAAAGCTCAGTTCATTGTGAGTAAAAATGTGACGACTGTGTCACCTTCTAGTTTAATTAATAACAAGACAATGATTATAACTATTAATTAAACTAACAATTCATGGTTAAAAGTTGGATTTTTTAAAAACTTACATACTATAACATGTCGGAATAATCTGGTAATTACGAATTTGATGGTACCATGAGTTAGAAACAATTATCCCTGTATTTGTGCTATCGGGGTGATAATTAAGTGAATATTTGGAATTTTTATTAAATGTCCCTGGTGCGAAATTAATCACAAAATATGGTCCTACCTCTTCAATCAACACGAAGACTACGACAGTTAGAGTCCTTATATGTCTATTGTATTGAGTTGTGTATATTAACTACAGATGTAGGTACCTTAGATTCACTACTTAAAATCTAGTTTATAGGAAATATAGCTATCATTTATTGATATTTCTGTTATGATATTTTATAGCTGGATGTTCCAAGCCTTCAGATTACTTATGTGGAAACCTGTGGTGCATTGATAAGAACTTAATGTGCGACTCAGTTGACCATTGTGGCGACAATACAGACGAAACACCACATCTGTTATGCTCTATGTCAGGTAGGTAGGTAGGTAACCAGTTAATGAAGACATGCTTTGTCTCTTGAACATCGGTAAACTACTTTTGCCTCTAATTATTCACACTAAGAATGATGTGCAAGTCAAACAAGCTTACATTTGTTCTGAGATACTGAGTATGGTTAATGATTATTCATCCAAATATATCACCGATAACTTGTTAGAAAAGAAAAAAATTGTAATGCATTGCTCATGAAAACCATACATAATTATTTGATACCGACCGCTCGAAATTAAATGTAGTATTCCGCAGTCGTTCAATGCGCTCACTTCAAAAGGTCTGCATTTTGTAACTTATTGCTCAGAGCGCTCATATGTACCAACATTTTTATTTTTATTTTGGATGACATATTTGTTTTCTTTTGAAGATTTATGGAACAGATGGACTTTAAAAAAAGACAAAGGTAAGAATTTGTCAATCTTTTGAATCGCTCAGTAAAACTTTTATAAATGCATATTTGTCTTCTAAAACGAAAGTTTATTTTGTGACTATATTTTTGCTACAAAAATTGAAGGATGTGCATGTCAGATAGAACATTTAAAATATTTGATCTTTTCATGTCTTGTTAAGATCATTGTTAAGTGTTTTAATAAAGAATTCCTGATATCTGTACGTAAAGTCTATACATTACATATACATAAAAGTCTTATTCACGACTGTACTTCACGATTTTCTATAGCAAAAAAAAGATACAACTTTCATTCACTGACGCAAATGGTATATCCTTAATCACTTCTTTTTGCGTATAATGTAGATTATCATGTAGCAGGAAGTAAGGCGACTTCTGGTGTTAAATTAAACAACAGACACATATGTCAACGTACATCTTGAAGGAGATATGGTCATTTTTCACTGTATTTCTTTTGCTTGTACAGTATTGATAATGGCTTGTAGAATTCGAATATTGAGAGTTAAAATAATAAACTTACAAGTTTTTTTTAAAATTTTTACAGACAATAATTATAATTTTAAGAAACTCATCATAGATACAAGGCTTCAAATTTAATTTATTGAACCCTACATATGCAGTTGAGGACTATCTTGGGGGAATATTCGTAGCAGACTATATATTGGCAAAATTTTGTTTTACATGACATCTAATGCAAAACAATGATTCATTCGTATTTGAAAAAAAAACTACATATGCATTGCTTAACTTTCGATCTTTTGATAAAACGTGGGTTTTAACTTGGAACATTCTATTATTTTCTATCCAGTCTGTTGCGGAAGAGAGACATAGCGATCCAACAATCCGTCGTCGGTGTCAACTTTAAGCTTCAGTCTGTGGTTAAAGTGTTTTCAGACATCCAAATATTTTTACACTTTATACATTCTTACGAAAAACATTTTTAGTGATTCCTTCAATTTTTTTATAACTTTTCACCAGATGTTACTGGTTGGATCTAAATGCTAATTTTAGGAAAAACTAATCTCCCAAGATAAATTTGTATTCCTGTCCAACACTGACATTGCTAAACTATTAATGCCTTTTATCAAGGTATCAGCCTTTGGTTTGACTCCTGTCTTGGCAAATGCTTCCATGATCTCATGTAGTGCAGGTGGTGGAGTCTCAACTAATGGAGTAGTAGGTTGTTCAATAGGGACCTCCTCGGTTCCTCCCTTCTTGGCCATATCAGTGTGTATGTGTATACCAAATATAAAAAAAAAATCTATATACCAAATATCAAAAAGATCTAATCTCAATCCCAGTATATCAATATATACTATATATATATATATATATACAATTTATCAAATGTACCTACCAAATAATAATAATATAAATAATCTGCTTCTACCTACAAAAGTGTGTAATAGATATGTGAATCTTTTACGTTCACAATCTAAAACTATGAAACAACAATACTTACTATGTTACTCTGAATATCAAATCAAATTGTCAATGTAAGTCTAAGTCTCAAATGTCAACTTAAATCAGAATCAAAATCCTAAGAACTATCCTATCCTGAAAAATATACAGTCAAGAGAATCAAGAAAAAAAAATCAGAAGTTGAAATGGATGTATGTGTATTACATGCAATAGGTAAGGTTTAGGAGTATGGATAGGTGGTGCAGTTGTTAAAGAACTACCTGTTACAAAGGAACATGCAACTTAACACTCAAACAAGTTTAACTACTATGCGTACAAATTTTAACTTTAATATATTAAGTTACTATTTAAATGTTTAACTTGTATGATAAATTTATCTGATGTTTCTAAATTTAAATTGAAAATTAAATTTTAAATCTTAAATCAAATCTGAAATTTTAAATTCACAAACAAATATACACAATCAACACAACACAATGTACAGTATACAACACTTATACATGTAAACAACTATATACTACATAGGACTATGCACAATCAACATAAAACACAAATGACACAATGATAATAAACAAAGTCACACACAAAAAATATCATATACACACGACAACAAAAATTATTATTTTTGTTAATATTATTCAATATCTAAGAACCCTATGTATGTATGTATGTATGTATGTTAAACAAAGTTGGACTTTATTCACTTATCAAAGTGTATGCGTAAATTAACAAAGCTATCACAATACATCAATGAACTCTGTTAAAATTAACTTACTGCTTTTGATTTTAAAGCAATGCTTCAAAAATGATGTACAGATTAAATGTTTCATGAACACCTACATACCTATTTCGCCTGTGTAGGAATTCATACTCTTGACATCATGAACGGATTGTTTTATGTGTAACCTCTGTAGAGCCATGATGCTAACACAGTTTAATCCGCATAGCCTTCCATATAATATTTGTGTTTAGTGTTGGAGGGTTTAAGTTGGGCTGTACTAATGTCATTTAAAATGAAGACCAATGCAGCCATTAATCTCATATTTATCTTTTATATTGCAGGAGATGTCAGTAACCCAAGTAAAGCTGTATTGATAAACCCTTGTCTCGACGGATTTGAATGTCAAAGTTATGATCAGTGTATACCTCGGTCTAATGTATGTGATGGCTACATGGATTGTGAAGATAAATCCGATGAAATATTTTGTGGTAAGACCTTTTTCGGTTACACATAATATACGTAAGGAGATTTTATATGATTATTATTGAGGCTACCACTCACCAAAGACCTAAAAACAAGAAAGAAAACCATTACGATGACTTGTAATTGTTCACGTCTTTAATAATAGTTGGCAGATATCGTAAGGTAAGCTTTACATACCATGAGCAATGGCATAAATCGTAAGGTAAGCAATTAATAACGTGAGCAATGGCAGATATCGTAAGGTAAGCTATTAATACCGTGAGCAATGGAAGATATCGTAACGTAAGCTATTAAAACCGTGGAAGTTGACAATGATACATATTGTAAGGTAAGCTATTAAAACAGTGAACAATGGCAGATACCGTAAGGTAAGCTATTTATACCTTGAGCAATGACAGATATCGTAACGTAAGCTATTAATACCGTGAGCAATGGAAGATATCGTTTAAGGTAAGCTATTAAAACCGTGGAAGTTGACAATGATACATATTGTAAGGTAAGCTATTAAAACAGTGAACAATGGCAGATATCGTAAGGTAATCTATATAAAAAAAAGTGGATAATAGCAAATATCGTGAGATGAGCTATCAAAACAGTGAGCAATAGCACATATTCTAAGGTAAGCTGTTAAAGGATGAGGTAAACAAAGTGAAAAATTAAAAACTAGGATTTATACTTGCCTAAGAATTAAAAAACAGACACGAAAATCCGATTTTTTAAAAAGAATTATGACAACTAGATTAGACACAAATAATCTTAATATTGAAGACCTTCCAAAAAATTTAGAGAATACAAGTAAAAAGTTCATTTGCGTTTGAGTTTTTGGATAGCTTATCTCACGATACGTGTCATTACTCACTGATTTTAATATAGATTACCTTACGATATCTGCTATTATTTGAGCTTTTGATTTTGCCATTTTATAAAGGACTTTCCGTTTTGAATTTCGCTTGGAGTTCGGTATTTTTGTTATTTTACTTTTTGCTATATTGGTTATTACATATAACTTCAATGGGATCTTTGTCTTATATACATTAATCTAGTGTCCTCTTTTACAAATTTAGACGAAATCTTTTTCCACATTATGAATTACATTTTGTATTTAAAAAAAGGATCGTATGTAAAAACATCATTATCAATTTTGCTTGAATCTATCAATTCCATCCGCACATTTGGTATACATTAACTAGTATCCTTCTGTCGGAATTGTATTAAATCTTCTCTTTTTCCATAATATAAATTATTTCTACTCATTACTGTTGATCGCATGTAAAAAGCTTAATCAATTTGTTTGTACACCAATCAATTAGATCAGCACATTTAGTATTAATTCATTTTGATTCGTTTCAGAATACTATTTAAATACAGCCCATCCGGTTGCAATTACAAAAGTATACTATTATGCAGTTATAATAGTTTTATGCATTCTTCCAACCTAGAGACTAAGGAGCATTAAAACGATCAAATAACAAACCAAATAGGCGAACATCTCTTGTATTATTCGCTCTAAAGAAAAGACCAAAAGACTAACTGCTCTAGAATTACCGACCAGAATAGGGCAAGATGCAGAACGGTGATTGGCCACTAGTTGTGATAGAAAACTTGTTATGCAGCAAACAGCTACAACTGTGATATTTGTTTATTTTTCCTGTTTAGGTTCAGTGAGTGAAAACCATCAAATTGTTTATATGCAAAGTTTTTTTTATATTTATTAAAATTCGTTTCTTCAGAAAAATGCCTGTACCAAATCAGGAATATGACAGTTGTTTCGTTTCGTTTCGTTGGTTGATATAGTCGAGCGTTTAATTTTGTCAGGCTTTAGGGACTTCCACCTTTTTTTATTTTACCTTGGAGTGTAGTATTTTTGTCAATCCTTTTCTTCTTCAATTGATACGTTTGTCTATTACAGCAGTGTGTGATATTCTAGTTTGGTTATTCTTTTTACTATGCTTAAAGTAATCATGATTATTATTTTATTCCCCGCCTACGATAGTAGGGTGCAATATGTGTTCCGATCTGTTCGTTTCTCCCTTCGTCTGTCCTTCCCGTTTCAGGTACAAGTAGGTTAAGCTTAGGTAGTTAACCATATATTAGTGTTTACATCAATTTGAAACTTATCATAAATGTTCATTATGATTTGAACTTTAAACACAAATATGACAAAATATGGTTTTGACCCACATTGTGGGGTTCACTGGACATGGAAATGTGATAGTGCGAGCGGGGAATGGTTCCATATGGACACATATTCGTGTTGAATCTATTTAACAGTCTTCAATGTAAAAATAAGGAGATATGGTATGCTTGCCAATGAGACGACTTGGGACATTCATTAAGTTTATTGGTCTCGGGCTTATTATTTTTTTTTTGTCTATTTCTTTATTTTTGCTTCTGTATATGAAAGTTAATTTGCTCAAGATACTGTCATATAAGTGTAATGGTTTCAGTATTTAATCAACTGAACCGATGACTTTCTTTGAAAGTATCTATACTGAGGAAGAATATGACATTAAATTAACCGTTTCATGTATATTGTATAAAACGTTATCCCAGTAATGTATGTATTATTGGTGTCCGCAAAATAATGCCTTAAACCCTCTAGATCTTCAACTTGCTTTATAAATTGTGGTTGTCTAGAATTTTTAAAATCTAAAATGAATAATAGTGTTGTTTCTGGTTATAATTTTAAGATAGCAGTTACTGTCATATTTGTACAATATTCTGTGATATTTAGTGTCCGCTGTCCATGTCCCCGGTTTTTGGTGTGGTTCCGTGTTGCTCAGTTTTTTTGTTTTCTATGTTGTGGTTTGTGTACTGTTGATTGTCTGTTGGTCTTTTTCTTTTTTAGCCATGGCGTTGTCAGTTTATTTTCAATCTATGAGTTTAAATGTCCCTTTGGTATCTTTCGCCTCTCTTGTAGTAATGAAGATCTTATTTATAAGATGCAAGGCCAAATGAAATAAACATTCATGCAGTTGCAAATAAGACCAAGTTTCATAACGTTAAAACTGTTTTCGAGCATCACTGAAGAGATATTGGTTGTCGAAATGCACACCTGGTGCAGAAACATTGGTACCGTTTATGTTATTAGAACCAACTGCTCTTGATTTCGCTTTGTGTTTGCCATCATAACTGACAATTTCACTCATCACACTTTCACCTACATCTTAAGAAAAACATCGTAACAGAAATAATTTTTAATTCATATAGATATATAAATATGGACAAAATGTTGCGTGGGTTGAACAAAGAAGAAACTCCTCTTTGTATTAAAAGTAATGAACATTCAAAACAATATACCTTAAGTGGTATTGTTATTAATATTCAATAACGATGCGTTTGAATTAATTCATAGCAAAATACACATTTCATTTAGAAAAAATACACTTATCCTGGAAATAACTACTATGAAACAAAACCAAAAAATAATAGTATATCCCACCAGACATTTTGAAATCTATTAAGTTAAAAGCTTGTCATGAATGTACATACAAATTTCAATCCGATATTATATTAATTGGTACTTAGGATGCATGGACACATCACTTCCGTTTCTTATTTTGTCATAGAAAACGCAAGAAACCATTAACCCAAAACTTTCAATTTGAAGTACCTAACCGTCCTTGCTGTATGGGGTATGAATGCAAAGTTGGTGGATTTTACACCAATTTGTCTTGTTCAATTTGCCTTTTTGATTACTCGATAGACTACTACAGCTATGAGATGAAATATTGAAATAGAAGGTCTGCGATAGCATTACATGTAGAAGAGTCTGTGCCTCGTCTGTGTATTTTTGGTTGATTTCTATCGAGTGGTCTTTGAGAAGTTGCACGTTAAAGATGTATGCCCTAAATTACAAACAAATTTAAAACATCATATTATGGTTATGGGAAAGGCCAGCAGAAATCAACGAATCCTATATCAAAGTAAAAGTGCACTTTCCGCAGAATATTAGGCAAATCTCTTTGGTATCATCAGGAGTCGCGAATAACGACGATCAACGTGCGATACAATATGATAGGCAGTGATCCCTATTGCTACGACTTCACTAATAATGCAACGCAAAAAATATCTAACGTATCTTCTGATCGTATACTTTAAGCTATTTACATTGAAAAACAACAGTCATAATGCACAAATAGTATTCCGTATAATCAATTAACTGAATATGCAATTCAATTATACCTACTCACCTGTCTCGCGTATTAACGCTGGTTACATGATTTAATATAATTGCATTTAAATCAAACAAATATTCATCACCCTCTCGCTCTCTCTCTCTCTCTAGTATACACCATTACAAATCTTACTAGATTAATGCTTGAAAATTTATGGTGACAGTTATTGAATATTACTGACCTTCATTTTTAATGGAAATATTTTTTTGTTAGCTATAACAACATGACCACAATAAACATCAGAATTTAGAAGAGATAAAATTTTGGGTAAATATTCGAGTAAATTTTTTGCAAAAAATGAACAGATTTATATTTATTTTATATAAGCAATAAGCATTTTTTTTCTCACTAATAATATCACACTTTGATAGCGTCTTGTTGGTATTTGTCATTGTCAAAACTGCAACAACACATTGTCATATCCATTTTACCCCTATTATATTGACCGACTATTGTTTTCATCAAACTAAAATGACCTTAGAACTATTCAGTCTTTTCATGCCCATTTTTCTCTTCACAAAAACCTATGTAGCACCAATTGAATATAATATTAAATCAAAATATTACATGTTGTGATATACTCGAACAAAATTGTCTGTAATTTTTTAAAGAATTTATTTACAAAGTACTAAGTAGTTGATATCAATCTTATCTAAAAGGTAATGTAATTTTAACAAAAATCATTTCAACAAAATTGATGGAGAAAGTTGAGAGACAACAAGGGGCAACCGAAAAGCATATCGATGAAAGATAGACAACTCCACAGTCAAATGAATAAAAGAAAAGACAAACATTAATCTACATAACACTATATAGAAAATAAAAGATAGGCAAAACGTTTCCGCCAAAAACAGTTGATCCAGAAGCTTTACCTGATACTATCAATACGAATTGAAAAGAATGGGTAGAGTGCATTAATTCATGACACAAAATCCATACACGCAATGAAATTGTAAAGTCATGATCTGATTTAATGTTTTAACACATTGAGAGATAATAGGAATCATGAATAAAAAAAAAACAGACACAAAACATCAGAATTAACTTTTTAAGGGAACAGACAAAAATGATCCGTATTAGTTGTTAAGGTTGAATTTTATCCCAATCTAATAGTACATAAGCATTAACATTTGAAAGCAGATATGAATAAAGAAGATGTGGGATATACAATCTAACGACACAAAAATCCTAAGGGACACTTTGAGGTTAGATCACGGTCTTCAACATTAGACAGTTCTGGTTTAAAATATATATATATATATATATACTAAATCAAGTTATTACATTTGTCCACAATATTTCATAGGTATAAAACAGAATACTATTCTATATACATTCCACATATTATAAATTCTCCTTAACTATTTACAACGAATAGTTTTATAAAATCCCCATACTAATTGTGTTCGTCTGTTTTCCGTTATTATTTAAACAAAAATTAGTTTTTTTCTTATTATTTTCCTGACGCTATTTTTTAAGGATTTACGATTAAAGTTTTTATCGTCAATTTTATAAATTATTAGTAATAAAACACACTTAAACATTATACTAGTATTGGTGTTTGACATTGAATTTTCCTAAACAAAATTGTAAAGCACTAAGTTTAATAGTAAAAATGATGAGAAACGGATGAAAAATTTCTTCACTGATAGTTGATTATAATGACTTATATATAATTCATAATGAGTTCTCGTGTTAAAGAACCCGCAGAATCTCTGTGATATTTCATAACATCACGACCTCCTCTTAGTCTTAATAATTTTTTTCGAGGTTCAAACACATCCCTCCTTTGAGCAGTTCTCCGTGGGCGCAATTTTTATGATGACTATGCCTTCTATCATTATTTATCGGCTAAAAGTTTTGATGATGGATTGCCTTCTGTCGAGTCTACTTCAAAATCACTTCCGTCTTTCTCATCTTTTCCTACTTGTGAATAGGCTGAATAGAATTTCCTTCCGTAATCGACAGTAGCGTCCCATCTTCTGTAACTTCTTATTCTCTGTTTCTTTTTTATTAATAAGACAACACCTACTAAAAGTACGAGTGAGATAATTCCGACACCAACACCAACTAAAACTTTATTCGATGTCTGATCAAAGAATTCAACGACCGGAGACGGTTTTCCAGAAATTTTCTCATTTCCTGTTGAAGAAGCTGTGTCCGTGGCTTTACTGGGAATTTTTTCTTCACTTTGATCTTTGCTACTAGCAGGGGTGTCACCTTCAATATTAACTTTAGGTTTGCTTACTGGTTCTTTGGGTTTAGGAGCTATAAATGGACCATGGTGCTCCTGGGTAATCCAGATGGAATCTAAAAGTTTTTTGTCTTTGGGAGATATTTGTTCCCACAATAGATGTGTGGTGTTATACACTTTCATTCTACTAAAACTATTCAATCCCTCTCCTCCAATACGTAGAGCAGACCATGCTGTTAAAAACAATATTCTGAGTTTGATAATATCAAATCTTTAACAATGTAAAAAACTACTAGTTGAGGCTTTATACTTTTCTTATCATCTTTTAACTGTCAATAGAAATTACCTTAAAAATCTAAAGTAAAGCATTTATTGAAGTTTGAAGCAGAACCTGTTGTAAATCATCTGCGTCCAGATAACAAAACACAAAAAAACAACAAAAGAAACGTTAGTACCAGTAGGAGTACATCTTCCGACATAATCTTAACATGAACTTTCATATATGACCTAAAGTTGCTAACTTCTACATCATTTGGTCTTTGGTGGAAAGTTGTCTCATTGGCAATCATACAACATCTTCTTATATTTATATTTGAAGAGATAAGACTATCGCCTCGTTTTTGGAGATTTAGGTATTCTAATTGAGATCCCTTCGTGTTTTCTTATCCTAATTCGATTCATAAGTGCAATGACTGCTCAGCAATTTTACGCATGCTGGTGAATGTTTCGTCCCAGATTGTATCACCAGCCAAGTAGTCAGTACTTTGTGTTGCATGAATGATCATTGCATTGATATGGTCATTTGAATTCGAATCACTAATGGTTTTTTTTCTCCCATGTATTGATGGCCTTTGAAGTATTTGACACAAATTTTGGGAATTGTTGGTTTGCAATGCTCTTCAAGCGTGTTTGATTTTATCTTCCAATTTTTTTATTCGAGTGTCACTGATAAGTTTTATGAACACAAAAGGCGCATCTGGCGTAACAAATTATAAAAATGGTATCTATGATGAGTTTTATTGTGCCTTTAGATTTTCCATATCCAACAGAATCAGAGTGTATTGCTTGGGTAGATATATTTCATTAACACAGATTCAAATATTTATGATTAGCATTACTTTGTAAATGTGTTTTGTTTTAATCATCAGTATGTTTTGTTTTATTATTAGAAACACTGGATCATGCATATGCATAGGGGACCATATTATATTTACTACTCTTCCGTATTAAATTTTCCTCAGGCGTATTTGGCACAACTTCGTGGTTTTTTGTTTGTTTTTGTTTTTAATACTCGTCAACTTTGAATTCTATTTCCTGTTTCTAACTCTTTTAATTCGAGGGCCACTGATTAGTCTGATGTAGACAAAACGCGCGTATCGAACCAAGTGATAAGCCTGGTATCATTGATGAAGATAAAAGAATTATCATAAAACGAAAAAAAATCTTTTGTTAGAATTTTTCATGAATAAATTCATAATTCTGTTTGAGGCAAGCAAAAATATAACAAAAATCCTAAATTGGGTCCAGTAAGTGTAACTTTAAAATTGATGCGACTTCCTAAACTATTCAATGTCTTGTAACTTGAGTATAAACATTTATGTTTCCTTGTAATGGTGTATGCCAAATGTGTTTTAGGATTGGTACACTAACGATGAGTTTTTTAGTACTTCACCCTATGATATTTCTGGTGCTTAACTGTTGCTATTACATACGCTTTGTATTATATTCATATCTTGTTTTAAGCATTGTCTCTAATGCCCAAAGGTAACTATAGAATGAGTTGTTCTGTTCTTTCCTTTTGGTGATTCGTAATTTGTATTATTGGTACCTACTGGTTGGTATACTTACGTTGAGTTGTTTCACTCTTTACATTTACATGATCATTTGATGTTCCGGTAATTAGTTGAACTGGTCCCTTAGGATTGTTATAGTCATTACTCAAAACTTGTCCTTCGTATAATGGGAACAATCTTTCATAAGAATGTCCATGTGCTTGTATAATGACATCAACTCCGTAGGTAAAAAATAGATTCTCTAATCTAAATAAAAATTTGGAATGTTTTTATGCATATAACGAACAAGATCTTCAAAACTAAAAAAAACACCAAAGAACAGAAAAATACGTAAGAACAAGCGTTTTCGTCAGTGAAAAATACACCGACAATTCAATCAAAGGATCAACCGAAGTGATCAAGAAATTTCATAATATTTTCCCTACGAGGCTTTTAGATGCCAAAATAAAAGTATCGACAGGCAGTAGGATAGTTAGGAGTTAACCTGTTAATAAATATGTATAATGTAATATATAGATAGAGTAATCTCTATATAGAAAATGAACGTGGATGTGTATTTATACATCCCAAAAAACCGTTTGAAAATGATACAAATTTAATTATGTTTTAATTTGCTGATGACAAAATCGATATTTGTGCCAATGTAAACTATATTCAAAGATCTAATTACAACATTGGTAAGATAACCTTTACTAATAAGTTTGTTTAGAGGTTCGATGAGTTTACACAGATCACATAGTGATTTCCGCACTTTTAGTACAATATTACCGTAAAATTTAGTGTATGTAAACTCCTTAGTTAAGCAAAGCTATTGTTGTTAACGACAGCAAGTATAGAAAAACAATCGATGAACTAATCCCCCCTGGTCTTTGCAGAACTTGACATATTGAAGTTTAACTATCGCCTTCATTCTAACTTTAATTGTTCAAAATACAAAATTAATGCATTCGAAGTAATATATTGGTTTAATCAAATATGTCATGCATACCCCTTCCGAACTTTAGAATCTGCTGTAGCACAGTCATCACCACTAGAGCAATACATTGGTCTGTGTCCAAAGGCCACAATCCAGGGGTGAGCTGAACGATTCAGATTTATTATAGTAAGGTCTTGCATCAACCAATTATTTTGTGCTTGTATGTATAGTTCGTTATCCAGGAAATACACTTCTGTCGAATAGCTATGAAATGAAAAAAAGTATACTATAATAGAGTAATATGTTTTCAGATTGGAACTAGATATCTACTCAGGTGGCAGATATTTTACAATATATGTACTATATATCTTTATACGTTTATTGGCTAATAATGCATGCATATCAGAACGAGAAAATTTAACAATAATCTAATTATTCATTCTGCAAATTTGGACAACCTAGATGAAGGGAGGGAAGTAGGTATGCACTTGAAATGGGTGGGTTTGTTGGGTATAACCAGAAATTTTGCCTTAAGCAGGCCACTCCAAGAGCTGTTGCAAGTGTTCCTTAACGTACAGAAGTCGTGTCATTTCCTTACCCGTCGGATTCAAAGTTTAGCCATCCCATACAGCCAATCATGAGCAAACTTTTATTCTCCGGGGTACCCTCGGAGGTATAGAAAAAAAGAGGCGAAAGATACTAATAGACATTCAAAACTCATAAATCGAAGAGAAAATGCCATGGAAAAATTAAAAGATGACGAAAAGACAAACAAGTCCACAAAACACTACATAGAAAACTAAAGACTTAGCAACACGTACAAAACCAAAAAATATCAGGTGCTCTGGTCCTGCTCAACTAGTTGCATCCGCCATGTTGTTAAGTGTATATACAAATTAGGTGATACTTCTCATTTAGTGATGTCACAATCGTGAAAGAGAGGACGGGATCGGTATTACAACAATTGGAACAACAAATGATTGCGCCCCATTAACTTTCGAAGGAAAGACTTCAACATTATCAATTGGAACCCTTGGTCCTATTGCTTTCTTGTGAGCAGCAACTCTCTAGCAAGGAAATCATAATAGGATACGAAAGCTCTGGAATATCGTATCAACTGGGAGATCTATATTTAAAATGCAGGCGCTGCTGGAATGTTGCTACATAAAAATGGAAAGTTTACAATTTTGAAGGTGAAATCATCCCGTTGGACATTTGTTCTCAACCGACCATCACTGTCAATTTCTCGATGCAAGTCAAGATATGAGGCAGATTTAACTATATCTGTGGTATCCTTTATTTCCAGATCGATTGAATAGAGTCACCAAACTGAATTATTTAGTGAGAGAACATCATTTATATAGCGGAATGTGAAGTTAAAGGATTATGCTAGTTTTTTTTGTTTTTATTGCATTCCTCCCAAGAAGCTCCTGTATGATAGCTCTCTTATATCAATAAAGTAACAAATATGCAGAAGAGGTGCACAGTTGGTGCCCATAGAAATGCCGATTGTTCGTTTAAAAACACGTCCTTCAAACGTAACAAATATGTTGTCAATAAAAAAATCTAGCATGTATAAATGAAACCAGTTTCAGATATGTGTTTGTTTGATTCAGAGTATTTATTTACAAACTATGATTTATTCATTCCTAAATAAGGATATGTGTTCCTACACTGGCCATTCTTTTTAATGATATAAAGCTGGGCTAATTTTTACAATATGTCTTTGAGTTACTTAAGAACGGGTATTACTAGTGTAAATGGGTAGAGAAGTCAAATGTGTTGATACTTATGCAAGAGGAAAGAGACTTAGATTGTATGTACTCTAACTAATCTTTGAAGTGTCCACATATGATTCGCACTGCCCCTAAAGTACTAGTATGTATTTTCACAGTAATTCCGAATCCCAACTTTGATTACTGATAAAATTCATGTTAATAGTTTGGGCAGAGGTTTCGTGGAGCACTTGGCAGAACAATCAATAGAACGTTGTCTGTAAGGACACTTATATAATTTCGGTAACCAGTATAGTGAGGGAAAATCCAGTTCTTCATCTTTGGTTAAAATTCCAAAGGAACATAGAACAGACCTATGATTGTTCAGAATCTCCCCTTTTATATGTGTAGTGGAAGTATATGTTGAGATGCCAAGTGAACTGTCAATCCCTTACTACGTTATCAAGCAGTTTATGTAATGTGATTTACACACACAAACGATGTTGTCCGGGTCTTTATCTGTGGGGAAAACAACATTTTGTTATTGAGATAGGGCAGGTGCTACCAAACTTTGGATCTTTGAAGATAGATGTTGCATGAGTACTAATAGACCCATTCAGTGGTTTCATTTTTTAATTTGTATCAACTGTCTTAACCCATTTGGAAAGAGTATCCATGTCTTCTTTTTCGCGTTTAGTCTATTGCCTGGCATAATCCTCAATTGAGTCAATTATTATTTTGAAGTTGTGTTTCCATGGATTTAGGTTTACTGTATTTCGGTCCTTTGGAAGACGAAACGATTGCCTGCTTGTATATCAATCATCAAACTCAACAAAAGTCTAGTTAATTTCTGATTCGGTTGTTTTGTTATTGGAATAAGTGTGGTTCTTAATAAAGTATGGAAATATATGGTTTTGTCAAATAGTTTTGGTTCATAATCAACATTTAGCAATGTGCCTTGCATTACATTCAAAACTATCCCACTTTTTACGATTTATTGAATAGAACAATAAATAATTTCTTTGCTATGAATTTTTTCAGGTAGGAATATTTTATAATGAATGAATAAACCGACGAGATTTTTTTCACATATTTTCAATTATGTACATGTAATAATAATCTTGCTCGTATGACTGTATTGATATATGAAGATGATCACACTTTCCACAAATAGTTTTCGATCAATTGATTCAACTAATCTCAAAGAGACCGGATATTTGGGAAGGTAACATTTCACGTGTATGCACAGAAATTCGTGCTTATATCTACCTGATAAAATGTACTGGACCAATATCAAAACTGTACCACATTCTGTCAAGGGGCATTGGCCACGATGTTCCAGGCATAGAAAACCAATGTCTGTAATGGCTAAATAAATCTCCTGTTACTGTTTATGAAAATAAATCAAATTACTCTTATGCGGCAAATGAAGAATCTTCTGATAGCATTACACCATCAGGTTACATACAACTCTTTAGCTTTATTTCGAGGCTGGGGGGAATTCACGTACAGAAACGTTACATAAATGGAATCATGGATGTTTAATTGAACACTGAGCTTTAGAACGAAATTCTCTGTTGGTTTAAATTTGTCGATTTGTAATTCAGATTGTAAAGGATTTGATGCAATAATATCCTGAAAACGGTAATAAACATCAACAAATATGTTAACTCGATTTACTAATCAGCTCAGCATATCATGCAAAAGCTGAATATAAAGAAATGTTTAATTTTTAATAACCGATATAAATGTATTGAACTATTGTATTTTAACATACCATGGTTTCCAGGGGTTGCCATATGTGGAATCCGTGAAGCCATGTTTGACATCATTGACATGTAAAAATCTCCAGACTATACAAATGAAGTAAAATATAAATATCAGTATGGTTTAATGTTCAGTGGCGTGTTTCAAATACTACAGTAAAGACAATTCATTTGGAATTGAGGCAGCAAATGACAAAATTAATGGTCGAATAGCAAGTGTCCAGTTGTTGGGCTTCGATACTGATAAATAAAACTATGCATTTTTGTACTGTTAGGAACCAAAAACCATTTCCAATGAAATCATTTTCAGCTTTCCCGATAAAGCTAAATTAAGAAAAGCGCTTCGGATGCATGGCATTTATAACGTGTTGTTTTTCATTTTTTACAGCACCGATGCTGGTGGACTATCAGTCCCCGGGAGTCTCATCGGCTAAGTAGTTAATACTTCGATACTGACATGACTTATAATAAACCCTTCTTAAATTGTCAGTTTATAAATTTAGAAATAATTAAGAAGGTAAGGTTTCAACTCCCCAAGACAAAGTTTAACTTTGATGGATTTACTATCATTTTTAGGTCCTTTTTGGTCATATAGCTCTTTACCTCATTCTGTTCGTAGACATCCTTGGCCTTCAGATATTTCCCAATGAAGGTAAATCAAGAAAAGCGCTTCGGAAGCATGAAATTTATAAAGTGTTGAATTCATAATTTAACCATCAGCCGATTTCTATTGAATTTTGTATTGATTTCTTTCAGAACACCTAAAGAAATCTCGTTTTTAGCTTACAATCAACTGTCAGAATTCCAGAAAATACAAAAGGTACAGAAATAGAAGTTGTGTATAAATAGCTTACACGTGGGTAGCATATCGTTGTATTGTCATCTGTCTTGTTCTAGAATAAAAGAATTGTTCTTTAATGATGTCGATGAAAAATTTAATATTTATTAAATTAACAATGCTTACTTGAAATCCTTATCGTTTTTGCACAATGATTTTAAACTGAAAATTAAAACAAATATTGCATATAGATTTTTCAATCTTATAATATTAATACAAAAGTTTTGGTGAATTCCTGCTTAAATATATTATTACATTTTCAGACAAGATCTTATTCGAGAATATAAACAAGTTTTATTTGTAATTATCATTGACTGATAGATTTCCGTTCAAACATAAACAAGAACATTAATCCATCTTACTTTTAGGTCTGGTGCAAAGTTCCCAACATGTAGGACTGCATCGTACTGTCCAGATAGAACTTCGGTATCTATGTATGGTACACTGTCTACCTCGTCCCCACCATGATTTCCACAGATCAAGAACTCTGGTGTTATGCTCTGTTCGTAAGTGTTTTAAATATTAAAATTCATTATTCTTCAGATCTTTTCACTGGCATAAATAAAATTTAATGTGAGAGTTCTAAACAAATCAAAATTCTAATATAAAGAGTTCTCTGCGTTCCTGTTGTTTATATAATCAGAAATACATGGAAGCTTTAAAACCAAAAAACGAGAACTAAAAAATAGCCAACAGTGTGCAAATAGAATAGAAAATAGAAACGGGGAATGTGTCAAAGTGACAGCACCCCGACCAAAGAGCAGAAAAAAGCCCAAGGTCACCAATGGGTCTTATTTTTAAACTCAGTTAAATAAATGTTTAATCAAAGTTAGAGATGAAGAGTCTATATTTTTTTCATTAATTGATAAGAAGATTTTGCGAATGTGTGACAGACGGGAATCATTATTCCATCCATGGTTTTCATATCGTGTGTAATATAGTAAAAGCTTTAATTTATAGAGAATGTACACAAACAAGTTTTCTGATAAACAGAGTAAAAAAGAACACAAATAGTTTTTTTTCCAACGAGATCATTTTATTTCTCTCATATGTGTTATTATTTATTCAAGTATCCTTACCGATGCCGGTTCTGGTGTTTTGAAGAAATGTGGTCCACTGCTGATTCCGCCACTTGTTGGTCTGTAGAAATATGTTGTATTTGGTTGAAGATTCTGTTAAGGATATCAAATACCAATCAACAAAAGGATTACATTAAATTCTTCCATGTCATACATCTTTCTTTAAGTTTGGATAACGGTATACTACAATGGACTTGTTTAAGGACCTTGGCTGCTCATCGGTGTCTCATGCGGTCGGTATAATATGTTCTAATCACAGTTAAAATCTCCCATTAATTGAAACTGATTATTATGTATTGTTCTATTTGTGCTTGTATTTTTTCGTCCCTTATACAGTTTACTTATAAATCAGAATTTTTACAGGGTAAAGGGTCTTTCCAGACTTATTTTTATATGTACTTCTAACCGAGATTAAACAAATATTGGTAATCAAAACCGAGTCTAAAATCCGCCTCAAGTTATTGAGCCTGTCCAAAGTCAGGGGCTTGATAGTGGTCATATTTAGATATATCTTAGGTTTACTCCGTTATAGAATTTTGCGTTGATAGCTGAACTTTTATAGTCTCTGTTTATTATTATTTTTCTTTTTAAATGGGCACTTGTATTTTGTTTTACATCGTATAATGAACTCTACATGTCTTTCTTTGGGGTTTTTGAAGTGTGTGCTTGTTGGGAATTGACGGATGTCATCATGACTTGCCTGGCCGTTATGGAATATGCGCGACACACATATGTCTACAGATTTGTTCCAATTCCCGTAAACACAATCATGTACTCCAGTTTGTTATTGTTACACCACCGAATGTGAATTATCACAATATCTGCCATGCAAAATACGACAGATGCCAATAGTGGTACAAGAATTTCTTACCTTTACAGGGCATCTGACGTCATCCTCCATCCCACACAGTTTATATTTTGATAGGCTTCGGATACTAATACTCCTCAATATTTAATTTTTGCGTTATGTTTTAAGAAGAACTGATGTGTATTCGTCTTTTTATCGCTCTGCATTTTTGTGTATTACTATTGATTACCCAAATTCTTCTTCGATCGTCTATTATTTTGCTTGTTTAATGCTTTATTTCTTTCGTGGTGTAAAAGAGGCAATATCTTATCCAATAAAAAAAAAATATACTATCCAGTATTGAGTCCTGAGTTATTACATGCATACATTGACATCGCAATGTATCATCAACATAAAATATGTGCATCTTTTAAACACAGATGGTATATCGGTTTTATTCTGTGGATTTTTTTGCCCTGACAATAAATTTGCATTACCTTTAATTGTACTCTGTAAATGCATGTCAATCCATTCGATATTGGATGATCGAAGTGTGTCATGTCAGCATCAATAGTACTGTGGTAATTCCATGGATCGGTTCCATAACTTAGCGTAGAATTGCAATTCTTCTCCGTAGCCCACATCACTGTGATGTCGGATGTACTGTCCCCATAAGATAAATGTACATGACAAGGGTGGCAAGGTACTGAAAATACAATATAATGTGTACATGGCAGGGTACTGAATTTATAATATAATATGTACATGGCAAGGTACTGAAATTATATTGTTAGATGTAGACATGGCAAGGGTAGCAAGGTACTGAAAATATAATATAATATGTACATGGCAAGGTACTGAAATTATACTATAATATGTACATGGCAAGGTACTAAAATTAAACTATAATATGAACATGGCAAGGTACTGAAATTATATTGTTAGATGTATACATGGCAAGGGTAGCAAGGTACTGAAAATATAATACAATATATACATGGCAAGGTACTGAAAATATAATGTCAGGTGTATATACATGGCAAGGGTAGCAAGGTAATGAACATATGATATAATATGTGCATGGCAAGGTACAGAATTTATAATACAATATGTACATGGCAAGGGTCGCAAGGTTCTGAAATTATAATATGACATGTACATGGCAAAGGTGGCAAGGTACTGAAAATGTAATGTCAGGTGTATATACATGGCAAGGGTAGCAAGGTAATGAACATATGATATAATATGTGCATGGCAAGGTACAGAAAATATAATACAATATGTACATGGCAAAGGTGGCAAGGTACTGAAAATACAATATATTATGTACATGGCAAGGGTAGCAAGGTATTTAAAATATGTTATAAGATACAACTTAGATTAAAGGTTTTGTAAGAGAAATGAAATACAGTTTAATGTAGGATAAACGCACATAGCAATTGCATACAGGGAGGAAATTCAGAAATTTAACCCTTCCCTAGGTTACAAAAAAATATAAAGTCAAAACAAAATCGGGAAATGAATAGACTATCAGAACAATGCGAGTCCGACCGTCATACACCAGGGTTTTCATTGTGTGTTTTGTTTTCACATGTCGAGACAGGGGGCACTGGAATCGCACAAAAAAATTTAATTTGAACCTGCCATCAACATAGCCTTGAAAAGGAATCATACCTCAAAAGGACTTTAGAAAAAGATATTTTTAGATAATGGATAATTAAGCCCAACCTTTCCCCTAACCCTGGATCAGACACTGATGGCTAAGAGGAACATTTTTTTTTTATAAATAGCATGCTTGACACGAGACTGTGAAAACATTGCATTTTCAAAATCATCAATACCTAAAACAACTAAAATATAAAAATTAAAAATAAAAAAAAAATTGAATGTCTAATTTATGTTTCAACTTTGATAATAACTGAGACCATTGTTGAAACATTAACTTAATTTAAAAGTTCAACTTCTGGAAATTCTCAATAAAACTGTGACACTGGTGTCTAAACACATTATTTCATTTTAACTTATAACAACCGTAGTCATTATTTAGTTATGATAGCCATCTTATGTATTTTCATCACCAATGCTCATAGTCAAACTTTGAAAAAGCCCAAAATGTGCCATCGTTAAAAGCAGGTAATAAGACACCGTAAGCATCTATTATATAAAAAAAGACAACCATGTGTTCAAATATGAGATCTATTTTTTTATCATTTTGTATTAAATCTCGTCCATGAAATATTTCCGCAACATCTATAATGCCATTTTTTTTTCTCTAATTCCTTCCAAACAAGGTATATATTTGTCATAAATTTGGCCTGGCCTTGGTGGATCATTGATTGTATCATTAGGACATTTCACTGTTATTATTTGTTTGTTGTGCCGCTTATCATGATAAAAAATGAAACGATGCGATCCCTTAATCCGGAGGTCTTGAATTCTTAGTGTGTTTATGGTAAGTATCAAGAAAAGGAAATACTCTTGCATACCGTTGGTCCCATTTGATAAAATTTAGTTTTCTGGGTTGTGTTTTACGGATTGGTGTTTGTCTCTTCCTTTTTTGTCATGGTTTTCTCAGTTTTTCTTTGAATTACGGCTTTTGATTGTTTCAATTTCCAAGTTAGCTTACAAGACTTTCGAGTATTGATATCACATTGTACTTAACTTAAGTCACCTAACAATAACAACAAAATTGTATTCAAAGCTGAAAAAAGCCTTAATAGTACATTTGTATATATCAGACCTCTTGAAAGAAAGACGGTATAACAATATGATTGTACTATAGGCTCTTCAAGCTCAAGATTTATTTGGCCTTCTAACTGCTTTGATTTGGGCATCGATGGTGAGTCCCTTATTTAGACGCAAAGCGAGTATGGCGTACTTAGTGATAGGCCTGGTGTATTTAAGTATGAGTTTGTACTAAACTTCAACTAAATAAAAACAAACAATCTCTAAATGTGTTGGCAACTTTCAAACGATCCTCACTTTAACAATTTTTGTGATTGACTGTCATAGTTATGATTTGGTAAATAAAAGGGAGATTAAACCAGCATGGTTTGGTGTAGTTATTCTCAGTTTCAAGCTTTTTATCCAATTCGGAGTCAATGTCTTTAATTAGACCGGTTATACTGCGTATATGTACATCTCATACAGTCAAGTTGACGTACAAAAGCAAGATTTTTTTAGAAAATATGTTGTACATCTATGAGCGTTTTGTTAACTATGTACCTATTTATTTTATTTAACGCTCCCTTTTAGACCGGACGTGACTGCGTATTTATAAAGTCACCAAAACAGTTATTTTGGGGATATTATACGAGGAAAGAGCCTAGGAAACTTCAACACATGTATTAAGGTTCATCATAACAAATGGACAAAAATGGCTGTATTTACACCTCAAAAACTACTCGGAGTACAGACTCACCTGTGCAGTTGGAAAAGTTTCAAGACTTGGCATCCACTAGAGATATAAAAGTTAATTGCATTTTTTGTTTCAGAAAGATAAAATCTCTTTTGGATTTTGATGGGCATTTTTTTCGTTCCTGTAGAAGGTGTAAAAATAAACAAACACCTGAATTGCTTTTGATCTGTCCACTCAGTTACACCCTTTAACTCATCTATAGTTGTGTATTGTCAATGCCAATCAAAGACAATCAATACAATACAATACAGTTTTTACCTGAGAGGGAGCATCTCAAAGTTGTATCCCAACTTAGTTGTTTATTTTTAAACCTTCTGCTCATCAAAATCCAAAAAAGATTTTATCTTTCTGAAACAAAAAATGCATTTAACTTTTATATGTCTAGTGGATGCCAGGCCTTAAAACTCTTCAAACTGCACAGGTTAGTCTGTACTCAGAGTAGTTTTTGAGGTCTAAACACAGCCATTTTTGTCCATTTGTTATGATGAACCTTAAATACCCCGTATTCAAACTTATTGTGACTGCCGTGCGTATTTACACATCACAAACTGCTATACATGCCTTAGGGTTCACTGTACCGGTAACATACAGAATATATAAACGTCTAAAATGCAGTACATATTTAAGTTTATTTGTTTTTGTAGTATTCTCGTCTCCCAAGTTTTATAAACGTCACAATGATATATTTTTTTTCAGAAAAAAATGTTAAAGCTGAAAGGGGCATTAACTACGAGATATGAAAAAAATCAAAATATTATATTTTTTTGTTTAATCGTTAATGAAAGTGAAATAGTGAAATAATAATTCGCTTTTAGCACCCAATTTGGTTCAATTTTGTCAAAATAAGCTAAGAAACATAGTTGATGAATTATTCACTTGCACTTAGCTTGACATGAGTTACGCATGCATTCAGCTATTAAAAGGAAAAGAATGTCAACATTGAAAGTGAAACAAGGATGATAGTCCAGTCGATTTGTGCAGATTTTTGGCAAAATTGCTCAGATTGTGGTAAAAGCATGAAATTTGGCATAGTAATAGTATATGTCATGGACAACATTTTCAGCTATGGACCCACTCTGCAAAATTTGATGCTTTTACCACAATCTGAACAATTGTTTCACAAATCGACTGGACTATGAACCATTTGGTTGACTGATTCGATCCACACAAAAAATCATTCTTATACAGGTAACAACGATGATAAACATACTTTGTATACCTACAATATGAAACCAAACAGACTGAGAAAAATCATATTGCACGTGGTCACCATCTGTTTAAATTTATATTTATGTTTATATCGGGTTATATGACCGTCGGCAATCTTGGGAAATCATCTCGATGGTTAATTAGATGACGTCTAGACAAAAATACACAATAAATGTTGATACATATTGTCAAGTCCATGCATTGTAAATTGTTTATTTTAGACTTTTTGTAATTTGGATATACGTTTTAGTATGTAATAAATCAAATATGAGAATTTGAGTCAAATCGGTGTACATGAATTTGACAGCTAATGACTTTTTAAATCATTAATGTTTTTATATCAAATCAATTAGGTTGTTAATTAATGAAGATACAAATGTCATCTTTATATTATTCTATTTGACAAGCATTTAAAAATGCGATATCAATTGTAAATATCAAATTGATAATTGTTACGAATACGTCTATAATTGAATAATGACCTTTTTCTGATATTATTTTTTCATTCGTGTATGTTTTTCATATTCAACGTTTATGAATGGTTGTACTACCCAATTTGGGCTACTTTGTTGGATTTAAATAAACTCTGTCTTTATAGAATATAAACAAGTAACTAGTGTTATACAACAATAACTATATACAAAACTGAGGCTTAATTAAATCAGAACCAAAGAAGCGAACTAACAAAATAAACAAGAATGAAAATACGAAGAATAAATACAAACCAAAAAAATAAACCCACAGAATTCGTCATTCCTAATGCAATAAAAGAGTTATCTTATTATAATTCAATATGAAAAAGCATGTGGGTAAAAGGTAATACACCTCACTTTTGTGTAACTGTGACTACGTTAACTACCTGTTTTGTTTTTAATGCATAAAATTGTGCCATGTAGTCGAATGACAATTTCAAACAGACTTACGGACTATCAATGCGCATACCTAATATACAGCTATATCATAAGCTTTGTTATCCGGTCTTTATACTTTGTCTGGTTGTCAAAAAGTCAGTCAAATTTCTTTTAAACGAAGGCCAAAGGTCAAACCTATCATATTATATATTTCTTTTACAAAAATAG